ACTCCCCATCAGTCTATGGGTGACTCCTGCTGAAAGCTATGCTCCAAGAAGGAGAATGAAAATCAAAAACTCTGTGATTTTTTTATTCCACTCTGTTTATAAGTATCATCTCAAATACCAATTGCTTCCCCCCCCCACCCCCCCCGCCAGAATCACCAATGTTTCTACAGACTTAAGTGCCAACTTTATAAAACACAAGTACTTACCTTAACCTCATTTCGGAAACCTCCATGTGGAGTCCTGATCTACCTCAGGTCAGCGGGCCTGCTAGACAGCCTTTGCGAGTATACGTGTGTCAGCACTGGGGAGAATTTTCCCGCTTCAGATCAGAAAGTGATTGCCAGAATTTTAAGCCATACTAACTATGCTATTCTAAGCAATCTTTGTTTTAAAATAAGTTGGTTTTTAAAATAGACTTCTGTGAGAAAGGAGAAAATAATGCCTCACAAACTCTGGGTGAACATGAAAGTCAGTGTAGCTCCCACAGAAATGGACACTGAAAAATGTAACTGTGACTTTAAGAATACTTTGTGATCTCATTAAATAATAGAAAAGTCAACACGATCAATGCATTGTAACATGCCACAACTTATATTTATATGTTCATTTTACTTAATGAACATGAATTTCCCATTTTCCCAAGGCTTTTAAAATCTGATTGGATTGTACATTTTAATGGTAAGTAAATAAAATTCATTTGCACGTGTCCTCTAATATTCTTTCTTTGTATCAGTAGGTTATTTAGGCAAGAATGCTCTAAAAAAGGGACAGTTTTGTTTTGAAATTTCCAGTTATAGGCAAAAGCATGTTTTCAGGTGGTACAATACTTTTGATCAAAACTCCCCAAAATTTTAGCTGTTTTATGTTTCTTCCCCCTTTCTGTCCTATGCTTCAGTATTTTTATATTTATAATTTTGAAAAACTAACTCGGGCTGAAAGACCATGCCTTGCAGATATTTGGAAAAAAGAATAATGGCAGGACATTATGCTAAGTGTGTAAGCCAGGTAGTAAGCAGTCACAGCGAGACAAATACTATATGATTCCACTTCTATGACATTTCTCATATGACACAAATGAAACAAAAAGAATGGTGGCTGCTGGGAGGGGAGGGAGAAGGGGAAGTTGTTTACTGGGTATAGAGTTTCAGATGAAAGGAATGCTGGAAGTGTTTGTACAGTGTTGTGAATGTACTTAATGCTACTGAACGGCACGCCTAAAAATAGTTAAGATCAGGGGTGGCTGGGGGCGCCTGGTGGGGGGGTTCATCGGTTAAGCAGCTGACTCTTGATTTTGGCTCAGGTCATGATCTGACAGTTTCTGAGTTCCAGCCCTGAGTCTGGCTCTTTGCTGAGAGTGCAGAGCCTGCTTGGGATTCTCTCTCTCCCTCTCTCTGCCCCTCCCCTGCTCAAGCACACATATGTGCTCTCTCTCAAAATAAATAAATAAACTATCCCTCATCTATAGCAAGTATTCATTGGAAGCCATTTGGTACAATACGACCTCACCTCTCTAGATCGAATTAGAGAAGGGCACTTGACTCAAACTTGGCCAATGAGAAGTTATTTTCTGTTGCCTTAAGATATCCATGTCTTCTTAGGATCAAATTCTTTTCTGCTTAAGCTAGCTTGAGATCTTTTCTGTTACTTTCAAGCTAAGAAACTTGAACCAACAGAACTATTCTAGGGATGATTGCAAAATTCATCTCTAGGGGAAGGCTGCTCTTTTGAAAAACAGTTTAATGGGTCTTCTGGGTATATAAAAGTAGAGCAAAAATTCATTGGAATGAAGCAGCTGAGAACAATTATGAGCAAGTCCAATGCTCAGGGATGTAAAAGAACAACTATATTGTGGGCAAGGCTGCCTTTACATGCTGTATTTTAATACTGGTTTGCCTTTCTCTGGTTCATTTTGGAGGTCTTTTCTCCTTTCCTCCCTCCCTGCCTCCCTTCCTTCCTTCTTTTCAAAAGTAATCTCTCTGCCCATCGTGGGGCTTGAACTCATGACCCTGAGATCAAGAATCCCATACTCTAGGGGCGCCTGGGTGGCTTAGTCGGTTAAGCGTCCGACTTTCGCTTAGGTCATGATCTCGCGGTTCGTGGTTCGGGCCCCGCGTCGGGCTCTGTGNTCTTCCCTGTTCATTTAGAAAGTTGATTACTGGCTGCATTCAGATTCAAAATAAGCACCGTAGGGGCGCCTGGGTGTCTCAGTCGGTTAAGCGTCCGACTTTCGCTTAGGTCATGATCTCGCGGTTCGTGGGTTCAAGACCCGCGTCGGGCCCTGTGCTGGCTGCCAGCTCAGAGCCTGGAACCTGTTTCAGTCTGTGACTCCCTCTCTCTCTGACCCTCCCCTGCTCACACTGTCTCTCTCTCTCTCTCCTAGAAATAAATAAAACATTAAAAAAAAAAAAATCCCATACTCTACTGACTGAGCCAGCCAGGTACTCCCAGTCTTTACCTTCTTAGATTAGAGCTGGAGACCAAGAGAGATGGGATTCTGCGGAAGGCAAGATTACATAAAAGAGGCTTTTATCCTTCAAGATGAGATGGCCCATGGGAGAGGGTAACCGAGTAGAGGATCCCCAATGAAGAGACATGACTAAAGAACTCCCAACAGTGAAACATGCTGTTTAGTTTTCAGATTTTCCTTGTATTATGATGAGGCTTCCGTTGAAAAATTTTTTTAACGTGGAAGCTTAGTCTTAACTGTGCTTTGGGAAAGTAAAGAAGGAGCCATGCTCAAGTTTAAGGAGATATTTCGGGGAACGTATATGGGCACAACCACTTTGGAAAACTCAGCCATGGCTTGTATACTCTCCAAGCCAACAAGTCCACCCTAGAAAAATTTTCACACACATGATTCAGGAGACTAAAGAAGCATATTAACAGCAGTGTATATAATAGTGGGGGGGAGGGTTGGGAGGAAAAAATAATTTAAATGTTGGCGATAGGAAAATGGATATATGAATCATGGTATATTCATATAATGGAATGCTACATGGCAGAGAAACATAATACAATTGGGATGGACTGAAACCAGTAGAAAGTATAATGCAGAATGGAAATAATTTTGTCATGGAAAGACAAGCAAGAGCATATACGTAGTTTAGGAATATATATGTACATATATTCACATACATACAGACATATATATATTGTAATTACCTAAAGAAAAGTTGACATGGTTTTAAAAAGTTAGGATAGTAATTACCTTTGGGAAGAAGCAGAGAGAAGGTGGGACCTGGGAAAACACATAGGAAGCTTCTATAGTACAGGTTAATGTTCTGTTTCATAAATTGGGTGGTACATTCATTCACAGGTATTCATTTTATTATGTTTTATAACTTAGATTAACATATATTCTTTTCTTTCTTTCTTTTTTTTTATTTTTTTTTATTTTTTTTAGTTTACTTATTTTAGAGAGAGAGCACACAAGCAGGGGAAGGGGACAGAGAGAGGGAGAAAGAAAATCCCAAGCAGGCTATGCATGGTCAGCATGGAGCCCAACGCTGGCCTTGAACTCATGAACCATGAGATCATAACCTGAGGTGAAATAGAGTTGGATGCTTAATCCACTGAGCCACCCAGGAGCCCCTAATTTATATTCTTTTGTGCATGTCAGACTTTTAAAAAATGAAAGAATAAAGTAATTGTCAAATTGCTTGGCAGTGCAGTTAGACTTCTACTGACCCTGTACAAGAGTGCCAATGAATTGTGATTTAATTTTTTCCCCCTCTGCTTTGGGGATGGAGGGAAAGAGATTCCCACTTCAATGGCTGTCTTGAGGTATCTTTGTAAGCTGGGGTACAGTTTCCTCTGCTCTCAGAACACTGATGATCTCTGCCTAACATTCTGAAGGAACCCTAAACCAGTGGGGTAAGAAATGGTGGGGCCTTATAGAATTGGTAGAAAGAGAGTGACTTATTTTACACAGTTGCAACATACAACAGTGCTTTATATTTAACAAGTTACTGTAGCTGGGTTAATGTCCTTTTGATAATTCTACATAGTTTTCAAAGGTTGCAACATTTTCCATTCTTAGAAACTAAGTGGGGGGAGCATTTCCTCTTTGCTTCTGCTTTCTTCCCACGCTCCATGCCTTGGCCCTTGCTGTTCCCTATGCTAAAAGACCCTTCCCTGCTTGCAACAGGTCTGGCAGACTCCCGGACCACCCTTCAAAATTTAAGTTCAGTGGCGCCTGGGTTGCTCATTCAGTTAAGCTACTGAGGACTCTGGATTTCAGCTCAGGTCGTGATCTCATGGTTTGTGGGATGGAGCCCCGCGTTGGGCTCTGCACCGGCAGTGTGGGGCCTGCTTGGGATTCCCACTTCCTCTCCTCTCTCTGCCCCTTCCCTACTCATGCTATCTGTCTCTCAAAATTAATGAATTAATTAAAAATGCTGTAAGTTCAAGGGCTAACCCTCTTGAAAACTATCCCGTCTCTTTGATTTAGCTCTGAGGTTTCTGGGTAAATTGTTCCATCAAACCTCCGTTTCCTCAGCGATTAGATTAGTTCCAAGGTCTGTGAGGACAGCGTAGAGGGTATGGAGCCCCCCAGGATGCTAGATGGAGCAGCCTAGTTCGAATCCCGGCCGCCCCATCTCTCTTAGGGCGGTTGTTAACCATAGCTTTGGTTTCTTCAGTTTGATTAAGGGATGCTTTGGCTCCAAAAAGATAATACTCGTGGCACCCGGCCACTAGAGGGCCCCTGCCCTTCCTTCAGGACCCTCAGGGCTGGACGGAACCGCCAAGGATCTCTCTACCCCCAGTGCCGTTGCTGCTTTCAGAGCCGCACCGGAGGGGGCGGGGAAAGTCCTCCAACTGAGAGGAGGGGCCCGGAGGCCGGGCGGGGAGGAGAAAGCTGCGGCGGCGCTCTAGTCCGCCGGGATCACCGAGCGCTCACGTGGCGCTCCTGATTGGCTGGAGGCCGCCGCTCGTGCGCGCGTCTTCCGGGCCACGGGGGCTGCTGGAAGGCCCACGACTTCCGGTGAGAGGCGCAGTCGTCGCGCTTGTCGGGCCCAATGGCGGCTCCGCTGCTCCACACGCGGTTGCACGGAGATGCGGCAGCCTCGGCCTCTGCAGTCAAGACGCTGGGGTCGTCGAGGACTGGGTGAGAGTCCGGGACCCTTTCTTCTGCGCATCTGGGACCAAAGGCTAGGACCGGGGTTAGGAAAGCGGATGTGAAAGGGCCTGGGGCAGAGCTGACGGCGTCCTGGCAGCAGCGGGTATAGGGTCATCTCAAGTTCCCGAGAGTGAGCCCGTGCCCTTAAGCGGGCAGTAAAGGTGGGAGAGGAGCCGGGAAAATGCGTCTGTTCTCCGCCCCAGAGTCCCCTTTTCTCCCCAGCGGGCTCCCGCTTAGCGTCCCAGGCCTCGGTACTACCTCATTCCCCCCCCCCCCCCCCTTTTCTTCCCGTAGATTTGGAGAGAGTTCTCTGGGCTGTTTGAATAATCAGGAGAATGCTGTCATTGATGGCAAACTGACGCTTAATTTTTTTGTTGGTGTTTGAAATTTGTTTCCACGTACACATTTTCTTAAGTCTGATTTCTCCCACTTAAAGCCCCTCACCCCCATAAAACATTTTGAGGTTCAACTTTGAGAGTCAGTCCCGCACCCACTACTCTGCTCTGTTTAAAGGAAGAAAACTTTGTAAAATATTTAGTATAATATCATTCATGGGGTTTATTAAGCACCTCTAGTCTGTATTAGACCCTGGAGACCGTAGTTTATCAAAAGAGACAACGTCTCTGCTCTCAGCAGAGCTTACGATCTAAGGAGGGAATAAATAGACAAATAAAGGAAAAGAATGGTTTCAGCTAGTGATGACCTGCTTGTGAAGAAATAAAACGGGGACCAGGAGAGAGGATTGGTGTCTTTTTACTGGTCCCTCTGACGTTGGAGCTTCAGTTTGAATGAGGGCGAGAGTCCAGCTCTGTCCAGATCCGGAGAAGTAGTGTTTCTCATAGAGCGAACAGCAACAGAAGTGGCGACCAGCTTGGCAAGTTTGCAGAATAGAAAGGACACTGTGGTTGCAGTGTGTTCGGTGGTTGGAGAGGAGGCCAGCGAGGTAGGCAGGGGCCAGACTAATGTAGGACATTGAAGCCCAGGGCCAAGAGCTTGGATTTGAATTTTAAGTGAGGTGGAAAACCTTTGGAGAGTTTAACTGGGGGGAGGGGGGGCGTTGTAGGATAGCATGATGTAATTTGGGGGAAGATCATTACATCACTGAATGAAGACCATTGGGAGGTGAGACTGGAAGGGAGGAGGCTTTAGCGGTAGTCCCACTGAATGGTGTTGGCTCTTCTGGTTTTTCTTATTTTCTGTCCTGCACTTAATAGTATGATTATCTTGGTTCTACAGACTTTCAGATATGCTCACATTAGAGAATGATTTCTTCAGTTCTCCTCCAAGAAAAACCGTTCGGTTCGGTGGGACTGTGACCGAAGTCCTGTTGAAGTACAAAAAGGTAAGAGGAGACAGCGTTGAGGCCTGGTGTCATTTTGCCCTCTGCATGATGCTGTCAGCTCAGAATTAGAGTCATAAGCTCTTTGCTAAGGTTTGTATCTTCAAATATTTTATTTACATAGAATCTTAATAAAAACCTTTAGCAAGTGCTGGAATAAAAATCGTTAGGTCGGAGTGTTTTATTTCTGAAAGAACTACCTGAATGTTGCTTTGGGACAATAAACCAGATCTGGCAATGGGGGTTTACTTTTTTTGTTTGTTTTTGGTTTGGTTTTGTGGTAATTTAGAAGTGATTCTATTAAATTTTCGCAACGGAGGGAAAATAGGAATGTTTGTTTTCTCATATATAAGCATTTAATTGCATATATGCGAATGGAAGGTATCTTGAGTATCAACTGTGATATTCAGATGTCCGTGAGACCTGAATGTGAACAGCCTTTTAGTAGTCGTTTTCTTTTTTTCCAAGCTGCCTAGCTCCACCAACGTGAGTTTGTAAATGGTTGTAGTTATGATTTTATAATCCACAACTGATGTGTGAAAGTTATGCTGGTCCTTTTGTTAGCAATTAGAAGTCCTACTGTTGATCTTTAATAGGAAACTGAAGCAAGCAAAACTACTTTTTTTTTTTTTGTCCTTGTATAGGGCGAAACAAGTGACTTTGAGTTGTTGAAGAACCAGCTGTCAGATCCGGACATAAAGGTAATGACTTTACGTTTGATTGTTAGCAGAGTTACTGCCACTTTGGATGGATTGAGTTTGCATGTTTGGTCCTGTTCCACGCTCTCGATCTGGCTCTCTGTGGGATCTCTCACTTTACTGCAGTGGTTAATGCAGGGGGCAAAACCAAGAGCACTTTTGCCCCCAGGGCACATATGGTGCCAAACTGGAGAACATTTTTGGTTGTCACACCTGGGGAGCTGGAGGGGTCCTACTGGCATCTAGTGACTGGATGACAGGGACGCCGCTAAACCTCCAGCCATGAATGCACAGAGCAGCCCTCCACAACAAGGGGCTGTCACGTCCTCACTGTCAGTGGTCTTCAGTTGAGAATCCCTGCTTTATCCTCCCTTTCTAATTTTTATTAATGTTTACTTATTTATTAAAAAAATTTTTTTTTAAGATTTATTCATTTTTGAGAGAGATAGAGTGTGAGTGGGGAGGGGCAGGGAGAGAAGGAGACACAGAATCTGAAGCAGGCTCCAGGCTCTCAGCTGTCAGCACAGAGCCCGATGTGGGGCTCAAACTCAAAAACTGAGAGTGTGATCTGAGCTGAAGTTGGATGCTTAACCAACTGAGCCGCCCCAGCACCCCATTTCCTAGAATCTCTTTCCTCTATGCTGCATGCAACTCTCAGGTCTCTCCGATGCTAAAGCGAAAACAAAAGATGACTTGTCTTTCAAGATATTACTCTTTTAAGCATTTTCAGAAATGTTTCAAGAGGTGTACCTTTCTAAATACCTACCTATCACGTAGTCACAACTGAGTAAGTTTTGTTTCCCTTTTCTTCCCTTACTGCCCAGTTTTGGAAAGAATGGTGGAGGTAGGCAGATCGCCTGCAGTAAAATTGTTACTCTGCTGCTTCGCAGTGTGTGTGTGTGTGTGTGTGTGTGTGTGATCGAGGGCAGCTTGTTTAACCTCTGCGTCTGTTTCGTCTTTACAAAGTCAGCAAAACGATAGAGGTATTTTAAATGTAGCGGTTTTCCAGGATCCAGTGAGCTAATGTGTGAGAAACATTTGGAACAGCCACTGCCTGACAGAGGGCTTTGCAGTTGTTAGCTGACATCCGTGCTGACAGTGCGCACTTTCACTGCCTGTGCATGTTGAATCCGCTGTGAGAGCCGTTGCTGTGATTTTGTGACAGATGGTTTCTGACATGCTCGTTTCAGTGGACTTTTTTTCAAGCCTCACACTAAATCCTTCTAGCTGTTGATGCTGTTGGCTGCCCACTTTTTTGCTGCTGTTAAGTTTATTTATTTTGAAAGAGTGTGAGGGAGGTGTGGGCTTGGGGGAGAGAATCCCAAGCAGGCTCTGAACTGTCAGCTTGGAGCCCTATGTGGGACTCGAACTCACGAACTGCAAATTCATGATCTGAGGCGAACCAAGAGTTCGATGCCTAACCAACTGAGCCACCAGGCGCCCTTGGCGGCTCACTTCGTGAAACATTTCCTTTGGGTTCTAAGATCTCCCCGTCTTCTTATCACTTCCCTTTAATCATTCTTGTGACGGGGTCTTAATTTGCAGATGATCCTTCCTGTGTGATCTCCTAATGCCCTCTAGGCTTTGGGATTCACTGTGTCCTTATAACTTCCAGATTTGTATCTAGAGCTCAGATGGCTCTTATGGGCCCCAGACCAGCCCTAAGTCATGCCGGTGCGCCACACTTGGCGTTCTCTCTCCCCCGAGCCCGCTCCTCTGCAGCCTTCATTCTATGCTTAACCGATTGCATGCTCACCTTGTTCTCGGGCTAGGAACTTGGGGGCTTTCTCACCCCTTGTGTCCATTGATGCCATTGATTCGCCAGGGCCTTTGGAGGAAAAAAAACATCCTTAAAGACTTCTTGCCTTGTTGGTGCTCTTGTCTGGATCCTTCCCTTAATTCCTGTAGGTTACCTAGGTTCCACTTCTCTGTCTCACAGTCCTTCCCCCCCCCCCGCGCCCCCCACCAGTTTTACCCTCCACAGTGCAGCCTAACTCATCTCTAAAGCACATGCTAAACCAGTCACTGTCCTGTCAGAAAACCTCATGTCTTTTGCAGGAAGTAAGAGCTTCTTAGCACGGTCTGCGACATTGTTTATGTGTTTAAGCTCGCTAGGTACTTTATTCCATGAATTTGCCACATCTTTTCATTTTTTTTTTTTTAAATTGGAAAAAAAAATGTTTTTTAAGTAATCTCTACAACCAGCGCGGGGCATTACTTCTTTTCATCTTTATCTCTTTGCTTGTGCCGTTTCTTCGCAGCTGCTATTTTTCCACTTTATTTCCTATCTGTGTGAGCACGGGCTCTGGCTACCTGGCTCCCCTCCCTCACTGGCTTTGTAACTGAGGGCAGATTTGCTGCGCTTCCGTGCCTCAGTGTCCCCATCTATAAAACGGGAACCAGTGGCAGCACCTACTACTGGTGGAACGGTTGTCAGGATTAAAGGGGTTAATCTATGTGAAAATTTTCGCACAGCACCTGGCATGGCAATTACTATATTAGTGTTCACTGTTAGTACTACTTGATCTACTAAACTCCCACTCTTTGAGATCCAGCTGAGGTGTCCTCTTCAGTGGAACTTTCCTTGGTTCTCTCTAAGCACGTAGGTGTTTGTTCACTCCGTGCCCCCCCTTCCAGCAGATCTTCCTAATCACAGATCCGGCCTACAAGGACTCTGGTCCTTATCTGGCCCCTCCTCGGTTCCCAGACTTACTGTTGGCTTGCTTGCCATCTCCTCTAGCCGGAGCTGTACTTTGGTCTTCTGAACACGTCCTTGTCCCTCCGTGAGGAGTGTAGCCGCCAGAGAATACCCACTCTGCAGACGCAGCACTGGCGCGCTCTATCAAGCTTTCCCACACCCTCACGTTCTTCTGTCGGTTCAAAGGCCATTTTCTTTGTGTCCCAGTGTATTTTTTGTTACCGGCACTTCTCCTTGGTACCTTCACATACCAAGAAATGCATCAGTTGTGTCTTTATTAGTTCAGAGAGTGTTGTAAGTAATTTGCTTTGAATAATGGTTCAGTACTAAAGTACTAAAGACCGCGTGACTCGTTACTTTAGAAAATGCAGCAGTTTAAATTCTATCTTTATGATTTTGTTACACTTTTTAATTTTTTTAGCAGAAAAGAAATAGGATTGAGTTAACGTATTTTTATTTGCACATAATTTAGCTTGTCTTCACTGCTTCAGGCCTTGGTTAAGCCACTTAACGTATCCTTAGAGGTTGTGGACATATGAAATTACCATGGTGCAAGTGAGTTGTGATTTACTTTATTTTACTGTTAGCTTTCTTGGGGTTTCATCAGGAAGGAGTCTCAGTGAAGTTTGTCACAAATAACACATGGAAGGCAGCCGGTAGTTGGATGAAGGTGGGGAGAAGGTGGTGCGCTGCTTCTGTGTGGAGCAAGGGATTGTGGGGGAGAGGACGGAGCATAGGCTTTGACCCAGATAGACCGGTTTGCACCTGGTTCTTTATTAGCTTCTCGAATGGTCAGATTGCTTATTCATTTCTCTTACTCTCAGTTTCCTCAGCTATAAAATGGGAATAACAGGAGTCCATTTTCAGCATTGTTAGGATTAGTAAAAGATGCGTTTGTATGATACAGAACACCATACCTGGCATCTGGTGTGTTCTGAATGATAATCCCTATCAATAGTCTGTAAATGTAGGTACAGCCTTGTCTGTTAATGGTTTATCAGTATAGGTACAATACTGTCTGTAAAAAATCTATCACTACAAGCAAGGTGCCTGGGTGGCTTAGTCTGTTGGGTGTTTGACTTCAGCTCTGGTCATGATCTTGTGGTCTGTGGGTTCTGGGCTGACAAGTGGGAGCCTGGAGCCTGCTTGGATTCTGTGTCTCTCTCTCTCTCTCTCTCTCTCTGCCCCTACCCCCTTGCTCTCTATCACTAGAAGTACAGTACTGTCTGTTAATAGTCTACTGTTACAACACATTGCTTTTGTTTATTTTATATGTCCCTTTCTTGTGCTGAGTCTTTATTTTAAAAAAATATTTTTTTTAATGTTTAATTTTGAGTGAGAGACAGTGCAAACAGGGGAGGGCAGAGAGAGAGAGGGAGACACAGAATCTGAAGCAGGCTCCAGGCTCAGAGCTGTCAGCACAGAGCCCAGTGCGGGGCTCTAACCCATGAACTGTGAGATCATGATCTGAGCCAAAGTCAGATGCTTAACCAACTGAGCCCCCCCCCCAGGCACCCCTCTTGTTCTGAGTCTTAGCATTAAACATTTCTTTCGAAATTGCAGGTTTTAGTTTTTTATGTATAGTGTGTGTATGTGTTAATACAAATGAAATATGTTCTATTTTTTATTTTTTTGTTTACTTTTTACTTTTATTTCTTTTTAGAGAAAGGGGGCAGGGCACAAGTGAGCAAGGGGCAGAGAGAGAGAATCCCACGAGGGGCAGAGTGGGAGAGAGTGAAGTGGGGCTCGCCCAAAGTGGGGCTCGAGCTCACCCGAAGTGGGGCTTGAGCTCACCTGATGCAAGGCTCAAGCTCATAAATCATGAGATCATGACCTGAGCTGGAATCAAGAGCCAGACACTTAACCTGACTGCACCACCTAGGCCCCTGCATTCCTTTTTTTAAAACTGGAAAATGTAACTTCTTTCTGTTTTGAATTTTCATTCCCATTTTGGCTTCGGTGCAAGTTTGTGACTTTTTTCTCCTAATTTAAATACTATTAGTAGATGTTTGGTGCAAGATAGGTATTATCTCTTCAGTTATTTTAGAGGATTTGTGATTTTGAAAGCACTTCTCTTTGTTCACCCAAAGGATGACCAGATCATTAATTGGCTGTTAGAATTCCGTTCTTCCATCATGTACTTGACTAAAGACTTTGAGCAGCTTATCAATATTTTATTGGTAAGTTTTCCATTTATTTCAGACTCCTCTATGTGATTTCAGTACTTCGGAAACAGAATACGTTGTATCAGTAAAATGTTTCTTTTCTCTTTCTCTTCCTCCCCCCGTAGAGATTGCAGTGGTTAAATAGAAGTCAGACTGTGGTGGAGGAGTATTTGGCTTTTCTTGGTAATCTTGTATCAGCGCAGACTGTTTTCCTCAGACCGTGTCTCAGCATGATTGCTTCACATTTTGTACCTCGTAAGTGGTTCTCTTTGCATTTTCATTTTTAAAGTAGCTCATTATTAATATACCACCTCGGAACACTGTGGGCATCGTGTCAACATGGACAATTCTGAGCTGCCTGTTAGCAGTTTTGGTACCTGTCTGTTTTCTATAGTGATGTCTGTAGAAGCATCTGGATTTGTTGCTGTGATTTTTTTTTTTAGTTGTAATTTACATTAATGAGATTTTGATGAAGTCTTAGAACTCAGACATTTTTAGCTTATCTGTAAGGTTACTTGGATTTTTTTGGGGGGGGGTATAAATTATTGTACTAAGTTTGGACAGTGGAAAAAATCACTTTTTTGTGTAGCTGTTGATTGTTTAGGTCATTGATTGTTTAGGTCAGTGACAAAAAGAATAACGTATCTTGTTTTTCCCTCACAAAGCCCGAGTGGTCATTAAGGAAGGTGATGTAGATGTTTCGGATTCTGATGATGAAGACGATAGTAAGTATAAAGGGGATTAAAACGAGGGATGCCGCCTGTGCCTTACAGAATGCGAGAGAATGTGTGCTCAGTGAGGAAATGCAGGGTGGCCCCAGGAGCTGTTCTAACGGGCAGGCAGCAGCCAAGGGCAGCCTCATGGAACATTCTTAATACCTTTAGCATGAATGTGTCAGCCGCTCTTGGCACGTTATTTATTTAATTAGTCCAGTTAGTCTCTGTTGAAAGTTGGTGTTGGAGAAAAATACTTCAAATTAACATTTTGCTATTTAATTAGTCCAGTTAGTCTCTGTTGAAAGTTGGTGTTGGAGAAAAATACTTCAAATTAACATTTTGCTAATAAATGACTCCGTTTTGGTTAGTGGGTGTCTGTAGCTTAAAATACATACCTTCTCAGTTTTCGACTTTACTTTTATGCTCATACTCTCACTTTTCTCCTTGTAGATCTTCCCGCCACTTTTGACACCTGTCACAGAGCCTTGCAAATAATAGCAAGATATGTCCCATCGTGAGTATCCTGTTACTGGTTTTTGGATCATGGTCATTAAGTCTCAAAAAAATGAGACTCAATTAGTAGGAAATTACTATGTTCATAGCGTCAAAACTCAGGTTGTAGGCTACGTGTTTCTGTAGCCTGTGTCAACATCACCTCCTACAAAATACGGCATCATAGTTTTCTGTTGTCTTTCATTGTTTAAGTTACTTAAAAATTAATATAAGAACGACTGACTTAATATTATTTAAATTACTGAGAACTTGGATGCACACTCTCTGAAGTGTGTGTGGTGGTGGCTGCAGTTCCGCTTTTACCTTCAACAGATACTGTGTCTGGTAATTTTCAATGAGCAACCCCCATGTGCCTGTGTCATTGCTGTGTCAGTAAGAATTGTGGTTGTGATGTTGATTACATTTTAATTTTTAAAAAATTAAGTTTTGGGGTGCCTGGGTGGCTCCATCAGTTGAGCGTCTGACTTTGGCTCAGGTCATGATCTCACGGTTCGTGGGTTCGAGCCCCACATCGGGCTCTGTGCTGACAGCTAGCTCAGAGCCTGGAGCCTGTTTCGGGTTCTGTGTGTCCCTCTCTCTGCCCCTCCCCCACTTATCTGTGTTTCTGTCTCAGTAATCGTAAACATCAAAAATTTTTCTTTCAAAAGATAAAAAATTATAGTTCTAAGAGAAGTTTAAATTTCTTTTGGGGGGAATGGACTTCAAGTTTCCTCTGTAAGTTTATTATTTGCTAACTTAAAAATTACCCAAGTTGATAACTTTTTCTTGTTTTCAAAGTAATACATGGGCATGCTGTGGGAAACATTTTAAGTTTTAAACTGAAACTCTATTGCTTTTGTAGGAATAAGAATTCTCCTTTAATTTGCTGTTGATACCAAAGTTAATAGATTATTTTCCCATACATTTTCTCTGAAGCTATGCATTTAAGTTGCAGTTACTTGAGATAGTGATTACCATTGCCTTTTGCGTCCACATTTGCTCCAGTTAACATGGATTGGTTGATTTCCTTTTGTTTTTTTATTTTCTAATTAGGACACCGTGGTTTCTTATGCCAATACTGGTGGAAAAATTTCCCTTTGTTCGAAAATCAGAGAGAACATTGGTAAGAAGTCATTTCATGGGGGAAATAATGGAAAAGTTGGGAGTTATTTTTAGGTCATGTTATGTGTTTTTCTTAGTAGGTGTCTCAGATTAAACGCAAGACTAAGAGTTTGACCCAGCTTCCTTTATTAGGAACTGACTGTGGATCCCCATTGCCTTTTTCCCTTATGCAAGTCAAGGGCAGAGTCCATTTCAGAAATATCTGAATAGGCTTATTGATTATACAGATAAAAATCACTAGAAGTAATAGTTTATGTATTACCAATTGGAAACATGCCTTATTTGAACATGAAGGCAGAACCTTCTGTAGTAGTTTCCTTGGGCATAGCTTTTTTTTTTTTTTTTCTAAATAAGGTATTGTAAGAGATTCCTGGGTGGCTCAGTTGGTTAAATATCCGGCACTTGATTTTGGCTTAGGTCATGATCTTGCAGTCATGAGATCGAACCTTGAGTTGGGCTCCACACTAAGCATGAGGCTTGCTTGAGATTTTCTTTCTCGCTCCCCGGCTCATGTGTACACGTGGGTGCGTGCATACTCTCTCAAAAAACGTAGTCTATGAAGTAAGGAGTTAGTAAGTTTTGCTAATGTATGTGGTAGTCTCCTTCAAGTGGAATATTATAAACCTTGCATTTCTTATTAATGTGGATGAAAAAATCCTCAACACACTAGAAAACTCTATTTAGCAGCATAAAAAGAGTTATGCACTATGATCAAGTAAAATTTATCCTAGGATGGTTCATTTAATACCCGTTGAAATTAGCTAATGTAACTACCATGTCTGTAAAATAGATGATAGCAACCACATGGTCATCTCAGCAGATGCAGAAAAGCATTTGACAGACACGAAAACCTTTTCATGACAAAAACAGAAGGGGACTGTGTGAACCTGAGAAAGGACACATGGAAAACTCACACGTAATATCACACTCTGGTGAATGACGACAAGCTTTCCCTTACCATACGGAACAAAACAAGGATGTCTCCTTTCGCTCCCTTTTAAAACATGTTTGTTTGTTTAATTGTATTTTTGAGAGAGTGTGAGGGGCGGGGGGGTGGGCAGCAGAAAGAGAGAGGGAGATAGAGAATCCCAAGCAGGCTCTGTGCTGGCAGCACAGAATCCCACATAGGGCTCAAACTCATGAAACTGAAATCATGACCTGAGCCAAAAGCAAGTTAGACATTTAACCGACTGAGCCACGTAGGCGCCTCAAAGTTTATTTTTGCTAGAGAGTGAGAGCATGGGGTGGGGGGGGAAAGTGAGGTGGAGAGAGAGAGAGATAATATCCTAAGCAGGCTCCACATCAGAGCCCAACTCGGGACTTGAACCCATGAACTGTTGAGATCATGACCTGAGCTGAAATCAAGAATCAGACGCTCAACCGACGGCCACCCAGGAGCCCCTGCTTTTGCCATTTTTGTACAGCATGGACCGCAGGTTCTAGCAGGGGCAGTTAGGCAAGAAAGGGAGAAGATATCCAGGTCAGAGAGAAGTAAAACTGTCTCTATTTGTGATAATGTGATCTTAACATTTAGAAAAATCCTAAGGATTCCTCAGAAGCACTATTAGAACTAAAATGAGTTCAGCCTGGTTATAGAATGTAAGCTCAGTACACACAAGCCAGTTGTATGAGACAGTTCAATGGAGGAAAAGAATAATCTTTTCCACAAATGGTTGTGGGACAAGTGGAAATCTACATGCAAAGGATGAGGTAGAGCAGAGTCCCTCTCCCCCACCCAAACAAAATGAAGGAAAGACCTAAATGTAAGCTAAAAACAGCTCTTAGAAGAACATGTAGGGGAACATTTTTATGATCTGGAATTAGGCAGCAGTTTCTAGATAGGATGCCTAAAGCACAAGCAGCCACAGAAAACCAGACAAGTTTGACTTGATTAAAATTAAACAGCTGTGCTTCCTGCATTGGACACTTTTCAAGCAAGTGAAAACCAAGCAACGGGCTTGCAAATCATGTATTGTGTCAAGGAGTAGATCAAGAATATACAAAGAACTCTTGGGGCACATGAGTGGCTCAGTGGGTTAAGGGTCTGGCCCTTGGTTTTGGCTCAGATCATGATTTCTTGAATTGTGAGTTTGAGCCCTGCATGGGGCTCTGCATGGACAGTCTAGAGCCTGCTTGGGATTCTCTCTCCCCCCTTCTCTGCTCCTCCCCTGCTCGCTCGCTGTCTTTCTCAAAATAAATGAACTTAAGAAACTAAAGATTGTGTAATTGATGTTTTGCTTACCTAATTTTGAAACATTTATTCTCTGTTGAAGTTTTTTGTCTTTTTATGTTTTAGGAATGTTATGTTCATAACTTGCTAAGAATTAGTGTATATTTTCCAACCTTGAGGCATGAAATTCTAGAACTCGTGATTGAAAAGTTACTCAAGTTGGATGTAAGTATTTGGTAATCTGTATTTCTCGTTGATTTGCGTTGATTAAATATATGTAGTCATGGTATGTGAAGCGATGGTAGCAACAATGGGGAAGAATCCACATTTCCACCTTTGATTCATTTCTTTGAACATTTTTTAAACTTGATGGATGTGCTGGTGGTTAGTCGCATCTCGTGGTTGGGGAACAAGGCATTAACTAGATGGTCACGCACATGTGAAAGTACAGTCGTGGGGCGCCTGGGGGGCTCAGCCAGGTAAGCGTCTGACTTTGGCTCAGGTCATGATCTCAGGGTTCGTGAGTTTGAGCCTCATGTCAGACTCTGTGCTGACAGGTTAGAGCCTGGAGCCTGTTTCAGATTCTGTGTCTCCCTCTCTCTCTGCCCCTCCCCTGCTCATGCCCTCTCTTTCTCTTTATGCCTCTCTCTCTCAAGAATAAATAAACATTTAAAAAAAAGAAAGTACAGTCGTGGTAAATCCTATAAATGGAATACATCCATCGTTATGTGCTGGAGAGCCTGATGTAACGTGAGGGGGTCAGGAGGGCATTCCTAAGGAAATAATGTTGAATTCTTTATACTCTTTTTTTAAAAGGTCTGCAGTGGGGTGCAGAGGGAATAAGTGAAAGTGGTGGGTTCTAGTGACATCGGGGAGGAAAGGCGAACTGGTCCTTGAGACTGGACTGGAAGTAGGGAAGTGGAGGGTAAGAGAGGGAGCTCTCCGTGGACTAGAGTTTGGCGCGGCCGTTAGCGGTAAGGGGGAAGGTCAAGGGGGAAGGTCGGGAGGAGGTTGGAGGAGGAAGAACTCCATTTCGGGTGGGTTGGGGTGCAGCTGGGGAGCCAGGTGGAGAATACGCAGCAGGCAGGGTTGGCTGCCTCTAGGGGACTGAGAGTAAACCTGTGCCGTCAAAGGAGAGAGGGAGTGTGATCCGGTGCGGGAGGGAAACGGGTACGGAGGCCCAGGGAGGATCTGGAAGCAGGAAGGGCTTGGTCAGTGACATTTTTAAGGAGGATGAACAAAACGGGAGTCCTTGGGTCTGGTGATTAGGAGGTAGTCTGCTACCGTGTCACTGGAGGGAGCAGCTGCATTTCAGGGCAGAGTGTGGATGGTTGGCGGGTGGGGCTGGTGGAGGCCTTGATGAGGGAGGGAGGAGGGGATGGAGCCGGGTGAGGGGAGACTTGAGGTTTGTGGGTGAGTTGCTGTGAGGGAAGGGGGAGAGCAGCCACACTGGGGAGAATGAGGGCTGGAAGGGGGCCGGCTGACGCGCTGCTCACCTCTGGTACCTACTTTCAGAACGTTCTAGAGTACACTTAGGAAGGAAGTCATGTATGATAGTAAAAGAGGCAGGATTTGAATGGTGTGTTAAACTAGGTTGTCTGAGAGGTCATATACCACAATGAATATTCAGTAATTCAATTTTGACTTGCATTTTGTCATTTTCCTGCTCAGTGGATTGAGGATATGCTTTGGAGTACAACACGTTATGTGAGTGTTGTGCGTAGTAAGAGTCGCAGTGGATGTCCACTTTGTTGAGGTTGACTCAGACCAGCACACGACAGATCCTAATGATTTTGTAGAGTTATGTAGTGGAGGGCCTTTGGGTTGTAGTCTCGGAAGTTCCTTCAGGGCCCAGACCGGGGCATGGATTTTCTCCGTGCTTGTGTATTGAGTTACGGTGCTGGGAAGGGCGCTCGTGTGCACCCTTTAGAGTATGTGAGTCCAGTCCCAAATGAAGTGCAATAGTTGTGTCTTCAGTGTTCTTATTCTTTTCCACCCCTGTGCTGTCACGTAGGTGAACGCGTCCCGGCAGGACATTGAGGATGCCGAGGAAGCAGCCCCCCAGGCTGGCGGCGGGACGGAGGCCGCGGAAGCGCTCTTCAGCATGGTCAGGCCCGCAGACAGCGCGAGCGCCCGGGTCTTCGTTCCACAGGGCGGGGGCCGGGCTCCTTCTGCGAGGCTTTGGGTTAAAACGGTAGTTCAGTCTAGCCAACTTGAAAAAGGTTTTGTTTTTTTTAAGGGAAAGAGTGTGCTTGTTGGGGAGGGGCGGAGAGAGGGAGAATCCCAAGCAGGCTCCATACTCAGTGTAGAGCCTGAGGCAGAGGCTCAGTCTCACAAACTGTGACCTGAGCCGAGATCAAGAGTCAGACACTTAACCAGCGTAGCTGCTGTCATGTTGCTTACTGCCCAGGAGAGTTCGTTTCTTTCCATGGCTGTGAATTTGGTTTTGGTGAAGTAGATTTCGTTTTTATTCTTAATTTTTGTTCTTTCTGCTTTTTTTTTTTTTTTTTCCGGAAAGCACATATGTTTTCGAGGGAGTGATAAGTAGAAAAGTCCCTTTGTGATTTCTTTATTTTACAAGTTATGCCTTAATGGAGTACTTCTGCCTGGGGCAGGGTTCACCGGAGGAGAGCCTGAGGGGGGCATTTAGGGACAAAGGGCAGGAGAAGGAACCTGGAGGGAGAGTTCTGACTACAGCGTGGTGACCCAACGTGGTGACCCCGGCGGGCAGTGGCGCCATAGACTTGACTCCAGCTTGATCGCAGGGAGACGGCCTCCTGTGACCTGCTGTCAGCTGGTCATTCCGGACGGGGCGGGCAGGAGGGGGTGTGGGGGCGGTTCTCTGGAGATGTTGTCGGCCACCAGCGCTCACGGCAGCTGGGGCAGGGGTGCTCTGTCCTGGGAGAGGAGCCCTGGATGCCAGCGGCGCCCAGCAGGCGCTGTGTTCCAGGCGCTGGGGGAGAGCTGCGGCGTTGGCACGGCCTTGGTCTGCGGGTTCTTCTAGATGTGAGTCAGGCTGGGCTCTGAATCTGCTTCTGGTTTGAATTCTGTGGTTCTGAGTCACACCTCTGGGGAGCTCCTGCCTAGCCAGGGCCTGTGTCTTTGCTTTATTTTGGGGGGAGCACCTGGCTGGCTTGCGACTCTTGATTTTGGGATCGTGAGTTTGAGCCCTGTGTTGAGTATAGAGATTACTTAAATAAATACAACTTAAAAAAAAAAAGAAACAATCACCTCTGAGAATTTTTCCACTTAACTGTTCTTATTACAGTTTCTAATGTCAGTTTTTCCTCCATCTTCACAGGATGAGGATGAAGACCCTGACCGTGAAACAAAGGCTGAGCCACAAAGGCTCGATTGTATGGCACATCCCGTAGCCGAGCGCCTGGACGTCCTGCTGTCTCTGCTTCTGTCCTACATTAAGGACGTCTGCCGCGTAGATGGTAACGACCCGCAGTAGTCACAGTAGCTGCTGTTGAGCAACTGCCGGGTGCCTGGCTGCGTGCTGGGTGTTTCTCTTATGTTACCTGGTACTGGTAGGAACGCTGTAAAAGTGACTGTCCTGAGGAGGAGGAGAGGAGGCGGTAGAGAGATGGAGTCCCGCCAGTGTGACACAGCTCCAGCGTGGTGGGACTGGATTTAGCCTCAGCTCTGTTTCTCTTCGAAGCCCCTGAACCTTTCACTGACTGTTGTAGTCAAGGGTTCTGTATGGAGTTTGGTCACTTTGAGGTGGAGATCAGATCACCCTCGAGTTGTCGACAGCATCTAAGGGTGTGGCATATGGTGCGCGGTGCTTGGGGTCACAGGTTAGAGGTCTTGTGCTGTGCTGGGCCGGGTGTCAGTACCGTAGTGAACCGATTGGTGCGCTTGCTATCCTGGAACTGTTTGTCTAGAGCTTTGTCCTGAAAACAGGATTCTTCCCTTCTGTTGTGAAGATTAATGAATGATTCACAGAATTAATCTGAATTGACTGTGTTCATTCTTTAATCTTTTGTTATATATATAAAGGTAGTGCAGTTGATTAGAGAATATTTGGAAAGGATTAAAGGAAAGAATTAAAGGCAATTTATTAATATTTTATTAAAATTAAAAAATAAGTTTTTATTAAAAAATTTTTTAATGTTGTTTATTTTTGAGAGAGAGAGAGAGAAGCATGAGCAGGGGAGGGTCAGAGAGAGCGAGACACAAAATTCGAGACAGGCTCCAGGCTCTGAGCTAGCTGTCAGCACGGAGCCCGACACGGGCCTTAAACCCACGAACCGTGAGATCATGACCTGAGCCGAAGTCGATGCTTAACCGACTGAGCCACCCAGACGCCCCTGTTGTTATTTTTAAAGTTTATCTTGAGTTAGCGAGATTGTGTGCATGCACACAGGGTCGGGTGGGAGGGCCAGAGAGGGAATGAGGGAGACAGTTCTGTGCAGCCTCCATGCTGTTACTGTGGAGGCTGATGTGTGGCTCGAACCCACGAACCATAACATGACCTGAACTGAAATCCAGAGTCAGATGCTCACCTGGCAGAGCCACCAGATGCCCCAAAAAAGAAAACTTAAATGTCCACATTTGTACTATTCAGAGTACCATTGTTAGCATTTTGATATATGGGTTTTTTTTTTCGCTGTTAGCTTGTATATATTTAGGAGTGTGTTTTCATTGGGTTTGAGAGTTCTGCTATACGCAGAGTTTCATAATCTGCCTTTTTCACCTGTTACGGACATTTTCTCGGACCATTCACTGTTCTTCCAGCGGGCTTTTGGTCATGTGGATTTAACTGGTCTTGTTCGCCACCCCGTTTGTGCCATTATAAACATGTAATGAACATTCTTGTGTGTATGTGTCCAGGTATCTGTTTGGTAAGTTCCTAGCAGTAGGATTAGGGGATCAAAGGCCTTCTGTCACATACATAGTAAAATTGCCTTTTAGAAGAGCTTCATATTGGGGTGCCTGGGCAGTTAAGTGTCAGTTCTTCATTTTGGCTCAGGTCATGATGTCAGTTTGTGAATTGAGCTCCACCTTGGGCTCTGCTGATGGTGCGGAACCTGCTTGGGACCCTCTTTCCCCTCCTCCTGTGCCCTTCCCCTGCTTGCACGTGCTTTATCTCTCAATGTAAATAAATAGAACGTTAAAAAAAAAAGGGCTTCATATTTACGGCATCACAGCAGCATGTGAGGTGAGGGTCTGCTTTGTTGTCAGTGCTGGATTGTCACAGTTAAAATGGAAAATCTGTGCAAAATAAAAATGGCATTTAGTTTTAATCATAGCTTAATGGGAGATGTTCCTTAGTGGTGGTTTATTTTTAAAAATTTGGGAAATGAAAGTGACAGCTTAAAAAAAAATGTGTGGAGCTGAAATGGCACATTTTCTCTCTAGGTAAGATAGATAACAGCAAAACAAAGGATTTATATCGAGACCTGGTAACCATCTTTGACAAACTTCTGTTGCCCACCCACGCCTCCTGCCACGTACAGTTCTTCATGTTTTACCTCTGCAGCTTTAAATTGGTGAGTCCTGGGGCAGCTTTAGCTTACCTTCGTGTGTTCTTGCCCGTGATTTCCCCTTCAAAAATGGGGGTTGGAGGGTTAGGGAAGGGAGACACGAGGTATTTCTTTTTCTTGGGCTCACTTTACCAGAGCCCCTGATAAAGTAGTTTGTGGAACATGTGGAAAGAGCTGGAAAGAGCAGGCGGCGTTGCTGCTGCCCGCCAACACCCGCCAGCTCAGCTGTGCCAAGTGCTCTGAAGGTGCCATTCTGCATTTGGTCCCCTAGGCGGTGTCCTTGCCCTTAGTTGGAGCCTTTGCTGTGAAAAGCCCCTGGAATCTGTTAAGTGTTATGTCCTCTCAGTTGATCCTCACAAGCCCCAAACAGTTTCTAAACCCAGAATTCTAAATCTTTAGGCTTTGGCTTTCTGTTTTGGAAAAAAATGAAAGTATGGTGAAAACTCTTTACTTGCGATTCTTGTGTAGCTTCCTAGAGCGGTCAGGAGGGTACTGGGCATGGATAAGAAGGTTAAATTCACTTCTTCCCAAAGTACATGTTAATAACTTGTGAAAAGAGCTATTTGGGGGGTGTCTGGGTGCCTCAGTCGGCTAAACGGCTGACCTTTGATTTTGGCTCAGGCCATGATCTCATGGTTCGTGAGTTCAAGCCCCACATCGGGCTCTGTGCTGGCAGGGCAGAGCTTGGGATTCTCTCCCTCCTCTCTCTGCTTCCCCCCGCTCTTTCTCTCAAAATAAATAAATACTTAAAAAACGAAAAGAGCTCTTTGGGAGAAATTGGTGATTGTGTCCTTTGCTAAAAAGAAGCTTAGTCTTTTTTTCTATGATTAGCATAATTAGTCAAACACTGAACTTTGATCTGTGTTTCTGTTTCTGGTTAAGTTCAGTATGTGCAGTCAGAGACTGGGCGAATCCTTGATGTTCTGGCAGGTACTGCCGCATGGCTTCACGTGGCTGGGGCTTACTGCTGGTTTCCCATTCTGGCTAACCATTGAGTCACTCGTAGGGCTTTTGTGTGGCCTCCAGAGCCCTGTCGCTGAGACTGAAGTCTGGAGGGTTGAGTCTGATGTTCAGCTCCTTCGGGATCTTTTTTAATGCTGGGGAACACCTTTGGTTTTTACCAGTGTTATCTCACAGTATCCTACAAATCTGAATGATGATAACTGTATTGCTTCACTAGCAGTGTGAGATACTAGCACTTTCTTCTATTGGTGAGTTCAAATCTTAGGATTCCAGTAGCCAGAATTTCTTAAACATTAAGAAAGATTAGAGCAATACCTTCTATTTTTATAGGGATTTGCAGAAGCGTTTTTGGAGCATCTCTGGAAAAAATTGCAGGATCCAAATAATCCTGCCATCATCAGGCAAGCTGCTGGAAATTATATTGGAAGCTTTTTGGCAAGAGCTAAATTTATTCCTCTTATGTAAGTAACCCCATTTTCAAGTGCTTTTCCATGTCATGCTTTAAAAAGATTATAGCATTGTCTTAAATCAGAGAAACACCTGCCTCATGTTTTTTTTGAGTCTGACTTTCAAGTGAGGAAATCTGTTCTTCCACACTATGCACGATGTTTATATTTCCAGAAGGAGAATAAAATTTCCCCTTTAGATATAAAACCTCATATGGAAAGCTTTTGTCATGTTTTGCATGGTTGCACTTGAACATGAAGATCCATTTGTCTTCGTGGATATCGTACAGCGTTGTATACTGTTTTAATTCTTTTTATAGGTTTGTCATTTTTCATTTGCATTCTGAATCACTTGTATCTGTTAAAGCTGAAGACAAAAGTCTTTTAAAGGTAATAGATCTATTTAGGAGGCCAGCTCTAGGCCTGCTTCTCCCAGTGACCCATGAAGATGTCTTTGGGCATGGAGGCTATTTAAAAAATGTTTCTCTCAGAACTAAAAGCCATGTGTCCCTCTGTCCCAAGTTGTAGGCCATAGGACTTCATCAGAACCTTGTAGGGAGAGCCCTGTAGGGAACGGTGGAGTCAGCCAGGCTGCCCTTCCCTTGTCAGATGTTGGCAAATGTGCCTTACTCCTTGGCCATGTTGTCTTGAGAGGGCAGGAGGCCATCAGAGAAGTCCTTCAGAGTGAGGAGAGAGTGGTGTCCATCCCTTGGGACCTCAGCCATCCTTAGGGGCCTGCCTGTTGTTCCTAGAAGGTCTGGACACCCTGCCTTGTCATTGAAAAGCTGCCTTCTGCCCGCCTGTCCTTTTCCGCCCACTCTGTGCCCCTGGGGAACAGATCGAGAGGCCTGTAGACCTACTTCTCTTAGTTTTTGACGAGAGCCGGTTGTGTGTTTTTATGTCACCCTTGTGTTTTTCTGTACTCTTCTGTTTTTATGAGGCATATGAAGTTGACTTGAATTTTTCTTTTCTCTAGTACTGTAAAATCATGCCTAGATCTTTTGGTTAACTGGCTGCACATATACCTTAATAACCAGGATTCGGGAACAAAGGCGTTTTGTGACGTTGCTCTCCACGGACCATTTTATTCAGCCTGCCAAGCTGTGTTCTACACTTTTGTTTTCAGACACAAGCAGCTTTTAGGTGGAAACCTCAAAGAAGGTCAGTGATGTGGGATTGATGGATGTGAACTGGATTTTCCATGAATGCTTGTCACCCTTTAGAATGGAGAGTCGTTACTTTTTGGAGAGTTTGATGAGAACAGTGGAGGCGGAATGCAGTCAGACTTGTACCCAAAATTTCAGGCAGCCCTTAGCCCCCTACATCCTTCAAGCCCCCTCTTTCGCAGTGGATGGATTTGAGATGCGCACCCGTGTTTTAGAGGGTGGGTTCCAGAGTGATTATGACCCACCAGGGTGCCCTTCGTTAGAGGGGACGCCTGGCGATGCTTCCTGCTGTCACTGATGGGCCGCGAGGGCGGGTGTCTCCCCCTCCCAGGGGGAGCTAGGCACACGTAGGGTATTGACTGGGAGGGTTAGAACTGAAAACCAGGGGAATATGATTCTAAAGCTTGTGAGTAGAACAGGGATGCTGCTTTATCTAAGGACTTTAGTGTTAATCTTCCGGTTTTCACTCTTGCTAATTTCTAAGCGCTGTGTCGAATTTAACTCTGCCGGAGGAAGCTGGTTTGTTAGGTTAGCGTAACAAGAACAATGCCAGTGAAGTCCGTATAAATGGTTTTGTTTATTTGCATGAAAAATTCAAATGGATCACTAGGCTCTTTCCTCTAAATCACATTTGCTCACTCTCTGACATTTGGGGCTGGAGAACCCTTTGCTGTGGGGGCCGCCCTGGTCGCTGTGGGGAGTTAGCACCCTGTCCTCACTCTTTCGTGACGACTGAAACTCTCCGGGACCTGCTGCGGGTCCTCACGGGGACACAGCTGCCTTGTGCTGAGAACCACAGCTCTAAGCTGACAGTTGTGTGTGTTGCAGTGTATGGATTTACTTATATCCTGCTGCTTCTGAAAAGACGTGGGGGTTAAAATCAGTTGTATAAACCAGGAATAGGGCAAGGGTTAGTGCAATGAAGGGGAAGTGTCGTCTTTTTTTTTTTGTATAAATAAATGATATGAGACTTGGTAAAGAAGATGTATTTCTTGTAAGCTGTGACACTATCCCTTTATTTGTCATTTTTATCAAAATATACATCAAAGGTGGAGAGCCTGGCTGGCTTACCCGGAAGAACATGCAATTCTTGATCTCAGGGTCATGAATTTGAGCCCCGTTTTGGGTGTAGATGTCACTTAAGTCAGTAAAACTTAAAAATAAACCATCAAAGAATCTCCTAAAAAAATTTGCTTAAGCACAGGTGGGTTTGTTTGCCTTTTGAAGTAGATATGGTGTCTTAGTCTTACCAGCATAGGAGAGAATTTTAGTTTCTTGTTCCAGGAGAGCGGGATCTCATTCTTATTTTGCCTCCCTGGCTTCCTTGTAAAAACCCAGCACAGCACCTGAATGAAGTACAAGCAGCTGTCACCCCCTTGGGTGGCACGCTTTCAGCTGTGCGGGTCCCGCTGGTGGCTGGCTGCTGTCATATCGGCACACGTGTCTGTGTGGGGAAGGCGGGAAGGAGGCATTTCAGGTGGTTCGGTCCGGACCTCTAGGGTGGAGCCTCCTTTTGTTACCTCAGTTTCGTAGGGATTTCATGGTTAACTGAAATCAAATCATGAGTGTTTTTCTCTGTAAGCTCCACGTGTGCTGAGCTTAAAAGAATCTGAATCCCAAATTGTCAGGTAAGTTCATAGCACACTAGGGATGTGTGCTTCTTTCCTGGGTCTTTGAAAGAATACCTGGTTTTCTTTAGAAGGTGAAGAGGCCTGAGCGGGTGTGGTTAAGCCTAGAGGCCTTGCGTCTAGCTCTGCCTTGTATGACCATGTGAACCTTTACTTAAAGCATGTCTGCACGTAGATCCGTGGAGTTTTTTTTAAACGTGAAATACTCTGTGCTGCTTAAAGATACTTGGACTGTTATGTTTGTACTTTTTAAAAATGTTTTGTTTTTTAATCAAAGGTTTGAGATACCTTCAGAGTCTAAATTTTGAACGTATAGTGATGAGTCAGCTAAATCCTCTGAAGATTTGTCTGCCTTCGGTAGTCAACTTTTTTGCTGCAATCACAAGGTAAGTTATTTATATTTTATTGGTGGAAATTATTTAGAAACAACTTTATATTAATCATGTAAAGTTTCATTAAATTTCTGTGAAATTATTCATCGAAATTAATAACCATAAAACATGTAAAAACCAGTAATGCAGTATGTACAGGAAATGCTACAGTTAGGGTTTTGGTTTTACTTGGGTGGTATTGGAAATTGCTGCTATTTATTTGAGGACGCTAATTCAGGAAAAGCCTCGGCACTTTGAAAAGTGAGGCAGCCAGAACGCTGGGCGGTACAGACCAGAGACGTTCATTAGAGTAATGCAGATGGACTGGACGCGAGAGAGGGCTGCGCAGCAGCAGGCGATGGGCCGGCGCGGGGCCCTTCTTTCGGGCCCGGGGCTCCAGCTCCCACACACTCGGAAGCCCTTCACACAGACTTCACCGCGTCCTCACAGTCCTGGGGCCGACGTGGTGAGACCCTGTTTAAGAACGGGGAGGCGGAGGCCGGGAGAGCTGGAGCGACCTGTGAGACGCTGGGCTAGATGTCAGCAGAGCTGCACCCGCCTGCTGGCGGCCTGGCGTTCCCCGAGTTAGTTTGCTTCGTGCGCATGGCGAGTTGCAGACTTTGAGCCCTTGGTCAAGGATACTCAGGTTAGGGTCATAGCTTAAAAACTTGAACACTTAAGAGTCTCTTCTGTTAGAAGACAAAGATTCCATCCTTTGGTCTCCTTTAGACCACTTGCTGCTCCTACTAGGGAAGTTTATTTTTCCTTTGCTGGTCATAGAGTTCACGGTGCTGTGTCTGTCCCAAGATCTCAAAAATGGTAACAGAATCAAGGAAAGGAATAGACAACAAGTAAGAACACTCGGCAGGTGAAGGGTCCCAGCACGTAGCAGGAAGGTGGGAAGAAGCAGATGGAGTGAAGCAGGGCGGGTGCCCGACAGCGTTCCTGGGCCGGAACGAGAGGGCCTCCCTCGGCGAGCGGACTGTCCAGCAGGCTATGGGCACGGGGCTGGGGTGGCAGGGTTGCTCCCCGGTGAGATGTCAGGCCGAGAACAAGGGGTGGACTTCCTGTGTCATTCTGTGCCAGCTGCTGTTGCTGACTTGGTGGTTCTGAGATTCGCATCGACCCATACAATTGCATTTGGATTTTAACTGCTCTGTGATGCTCTGTTCCTTTTTATAAGCTTATTTTTAATATTTATTTAGTTTTGAATTTTAAATATTTATTTAGGTTTGAGAGACAGAGCATGAGTGGGAGAGGGGCAGAGAGAGAGGGGGACACAGAATCCGAAGCCGGCTCCAGGCTCTGAGCTGTCCACACAGAGGCCGACGCGGGGCTTGAACTCACCGACGGTGAGATCATGACCTGAGCTGAAGTCGGACGCTTAACCGACTGAGCCACCCAGGTGCCCCTATTGATTTTTTTTTTTAATTGATCCTTTGTTGGGATTTAGGTTGTTAGGTTTTCAGAATTGGGAACAGCAGCTCAGGGGTGTCATTGTAGGTGCATCTAGTAAAGCTCTCATGGCTTCAGTAGCCAAGTCTGTCCCTCAGTACCCACTGTCCTGTCCGTAAATCCTGAACTCCTTTATTCTCTTACAAACAGCAAAAATAGACCACTTATGTAATTTTGCAAACTGTGAGTCCCACCTCGAATATGTACATTTTTAGTGAGCCGTGCCTGTTAATCATCTAAGCCTACTCTTGTTCTGAGAGTGACGGCCATGCTTTTCTCTCTCCTTATCAGCAAGCTTCTAAATAGTAGGCCTAGAAAGCTGTACCCTGAAAGCATTGCTTTCTCTTTCACGTTGTCTTTTCTCGCACTTACTGTGGGTGAGTAGCTCTGTGGTCAGAGCAGTTGTCGCACACTCACGGGCATGTCCGTGCCGAGTAATTCCATGTTAACCCCGCCCGTCTGTGGTTTGGTCTTGTGCTTCCACAGTAAATACCAGCTGGTTTTCTGCTACACGATCATTGAGAGGAACAATCGCCAGATGCTCCCGGTTATTAGAAACACAGCTGGAGGGGACTCGGTGCAAACCTGCACGAACCCACTGGACACCTTCTTCCCCTTCGACCCTTGTGTGCTCAAGAGGTGGGTGCTGTGCTCTTGGCCCACGTGTCCGTGCAGGGTAACGGGTGACGTCTGCTTGCTCTTCCCACGAGTGGGGTTTCCTCGTCATCGAGTGGCCATTCGTACCTGTTGGTCAGCATCTCACGGTCTCCAACACATGTGTCACGGGCCCCTAGTAGAGAGCGGCTGTTACAGGCTGTGGCGTGCCCTGAGCACCCAGGGCTGGGCAGACCTTTAGCTCAGGAAGAACTCTGGCGTGACACCAAAGGTTTTCATTTATGTTTTGTTTTTGTTTAAACCTCTCAGTTTAAACATAAAAGGGAATGAAGCTAGAAGAGTCTGGATGGGGAGGCTGCTTCCTTTTCATGGTTCGTAATGTTCTGCCAAGCGACTTGCTCTTTCCTCCGGAGACCACATTGCATGCTGTTGCCCAGGGTCACCAGCAGTCACGTAGTGGATCTGGATGGTCGTTCAGGAAAACCACAAGCCAGTCATAACTTTGCACTTGGATAAGGAAACAGGACTTCTGCTTACAGTACAGTTTCTAACTAGCAACGCAACAGTTTAGGGTTATCTGGTCCCCCAGGTCTTGGTTGGCCGAAACCAGATTGGTCTTTTTTCCCTGACCAATTTTTAGTAGATTTACTGTAGGGATATGAAAATATGAAGTTCCAGAGTAATACAATTTTGTTTTCATTTAGACATGTTCTAACTCGTTGTTAGGCTTTGCACAGTTGTCACTTGAGAATAAATAGATGAGAAACAGCGGTTTAATCCTCTGTCTGAGTGGCTGAGGTTTTACAGAGAAGGGGCCACATTGTTTCCAGTGTTGACATACAGTATTTTTTGACACAATGATTACTTGAGCCACAGTTTTTGTTTTGGGTAGTGGATCCTGTGATAAAAGGGCTACTAGACATGTCTGACCTTCGCTGTAGCCTTGAACTTGATTTTGAAATGTGATCTCTGTCAACAGGTCGAAGAAATTCATTGATCCTGTTTATCAGATCTGGGAAGACATGAGTGCAGAGGAGCTTCAGGAGTTTACGAAACCTCTTAGAAAGGTACACTTGTGACTCAGCAGACCAGCTCAGAGTGTCCAATGTGGAGACGGATGACAGTCATGTAGTCAATAGCTGTGTCACACTTTTAAACACTGCATTTTGTTCATTTTGCTTTTACAAAATTACAAGCTCAGGTTATGTTGTTATGAAAAGAATTTTTGTTTTGTTTTTTAAATTCTTTTTTAATCTTTATTTCTGAGAGAGAGAGAGAGACAGAGTGCGAGCAGGGGAGGAACAGAGAGAGAGGGAGACACAGAATCCGAAGCAGGATCCAGGCTCTGAGCTGTCAGCACAGAGCCAGACAGGGGCTCACACTCACGAACCATGAGATCATGACCTGAGCCTAAGTTGGACGCTTAACCGACTGAGCCACCCAGGCTCCCCAAGAGTTTTTGTTTTTTTGATGAATTGTTTAAACTAGATACTTTGTGGGGCACGTGGGTTGTTCAGTCAGTTAGGTGTCTGACTTTTTTTTGTTTATCTTGAGAGAGAGGGTAAGTGCAAGTGGGGAAGAGGCAGAGAGAGAGAGAATATTCCAAACAGGCTCCATGCTGTCAGTGCAGAGTCTGACGGGGGGGCCCCCATCTCATGAACTATGAGATCATGACCTGAGCCAACATCAAGAGTCAGACACTTAACCAACAGAGTCACCAGGTGCATCAAGTGTTTGACTTACTGAATTTGGCTCCAGTCATGACCTCAGGGTTGTGAGATCGAGCCCCATATCGGGCTCTGCACTACAGCAGAGAGCCTGCTTGGGATTCTCTCTCCGTCTCTCTCTGCCCCTCCCCTGTTCGTGTGTACACGTGCGCGTGCTCTCGCTCGCTCGCTCTCTCAAAAATAAACAGTTAAGAAAACAAAAACTAGATACTTTGTAAGGTGACTCTGGGAGGTGAAGGTTAATTAAAAATCAGTTCAACAAATTATAATTTTTTTATTTTTATTTTTAAATTTGTCTTGAGAGAGGGAGACAGAGAGAGAGATAACACGAGGGGGGGAGAGAGAGAGATGGGGGGAGATGGATAAAGAGAGAAAGAATCCCAAGCGGGCTGCACACTGCCAGTGCAGAGCCCAAAGTGGGGCTCGAACCCACAAACTTTTGAGATCATAACCTGTGTTGAAGCCAAGAGTCAGGTGCTTAACCAACTGAGCCACCCAGGGGCCCCTTAATAAATTACAATCTCTATCACATGGTCATTACCACCACAAAACAATCTCAAATTTACTTAGATCTCCTTTTTCATAAGTAAGCGTTGGAGAGCTCTTATTTCCTTTATATTTTGCTTTGGGAGTGGTCATTAATTCACTCATTTACACTGTTTAGATACAAGGGGGATGATACTGAGAATGACTTGTCATTGTTGCCTGGCCTCATTGAGCTTAAAATCTGTTTAAAAAATCAGACTTTTAACAAGTAGTGCCATGTGAGGAGCATTGTGTGGGCAGTTGGTGATGAAGAAGCGTTCATGGGAGGAAGCTTTCAAAATTAAGATACTCTTGGGGCCCCCAGGTGGCTAGTTGGTGAAGTGTCTAAGTCTTGATCTCAGCTCAGGTCATGATCCTGGGGTTGTGAGTTCAAGCCCTGTGTTGGGCTCCCTGCTGGGAAGGCGTGAAGAAAGAAGAAAAAAGTTATTTCCTATACCTTCATCTTTCCAGAAAGAAAGAAATTCTTTCCTCGAAGAAATTCTTGAAAGCTTTTCACACCGCCCCTAGTGATCTTACTGATAATCTCTGTTCTTTATATAGGAGGTGGTGGAAGATGAAGATGATGATTTTTTGAAAGGTGAAGTTGGGATTACACCGAGCTCCTTTGACCCGCATTTCCGGAGTCCCTCAAGTAGCGTGGGCTCCCCTCCCGTGTTCTACCTCCCGGACCAGTCGCCTGGGATCTCGAGGATTTGTGATTGAGACCGGCAGCCACCCCTCCGCGACCCCACGGGACCTGCCGGTACCAGGGCTCAGCCTGTTTGAACTAGAGTGTGTGCCTTGGGCACCTTACTGGCAAAGGCTTACTCTAGCGTCTGAACAGACGGGGCGGAATTTTTTTTCTTTTTTGCTACCGTGCAGACAAAAGACAAGACTGAATATCATGTGCAATATTTTAGAATGGAGTTGATGATAAATATTGAAGGCTTGACTTATGTGTTGGATGTATATTCTATTTCTGTTACAGCTTTCTGGCATCATTGTGAAATTTCTGCTCTGGGCAGTAGCCTGTTCTAGCCGATGGCACATAGGTTAGGTCTGAGCCATGGTCACAGGACTTTGTTGATCCAGTTTATTTTCAGTGAAAAAAATCCTCTAGGAGGCTATTCCACATCTTTAAAATGATTTTACTTTGGGTTCATCGGTGGCCCTCGGCTGGAACCGGATTTGCGTGTTGGGATTTCCACACGGTGCGGAGCGGGCGAGAGGAAAGTGGGCAGGTGGCCCGAGCCGGTCCCTGGCCCTGGAAGCAGTGCGGGCACCCAGCGTTTTCAGGGACTGTCAGAGACTGAGGAAACGCCGGAAGAAAGCGATGGACGATGCAGGGAACCAGAAGCAGGCGAATCGTACCCTCGTGAGTGTGAAGATGAAGTTAAAGGAAACCCAGGAGTTCCGGGTAAATTAAATTCCCAGGCGCTGAGACTGGAGGCGGACTTTTATAAAACACAGCACGGGATTTTAGCGCGTGGCTCCCAGGACTGCGGTTAGGACGGGAAGTGCTTGTTTGTAGTGGAATGTTACTTGAGGTTTTTTGTGTATGTATTTTTTTAACTAGAGTCAGTTTGGTCATTTTGAGAATGTCTGTGTGCTGTGGGGCCATGGAGAAGGGCCTGGGTTATGTGGTGGAATAGTTTTGGTAGCAGCAGCAGGCTACGGTTACAGCCACAGCTTCTCCCTGCTGGCTGGGGTACCGGGGTTGCGAGCTCAGTGAAATCCTCCTCGGGGAGGCCCTTTTTGTACTTTTATAATTAAACACCAGGAGAGAGGCGTCTAAACACCCTCACTTCGTAACACGTGTGTGCAAGCACACGGCTGGGCTCATTCTGTGGCTCATGCGTATTTTAGCGTCATTCCTTGTGTGTGTACTTCTGTATTACTTGTGAAAATGAACATCTCTAAACATATTTATTTTTCTGCCACTTTTCCTATTATTTAAAAGCAAGCAATATTTTCTCGATCGCAAATATTTTGTAATGAAATACTTTCTATTTCCTGGGGCTTTGTATGCTCTTGTATAATTATATTGATGGCGATGTAGAGTAAGTATGTTTTTGGAAAACAAATTTTTATTGGTTTAAAAAGTTTTGGATATTGGTGATTTTCTTTTGGTGACTTGGTGGACAGTCATTGGAGAACCTTTAGGGTCTCCGCTTTCTAACTGCTGGCTAAAGGTGGGGGGGGTGGGGGTTGTGTCCTGGATGACTGAGTCCATGGAAATGTGTCCCTAGAAAATCACGGTGAGCGGGCCTTTGTGGGTTGAGACGTTTCAGTGCAGAAGGGTATCTTTACAAGTGAGTCTGTTTAATGTCAGAAGAGTTTGAGGAAAAAACCTTTGTGAACATTGAACAATGACATAGTTAATCTGGATATTTTGTTCTTACACCAGTAATGGAGTGAAGGGAGGTACCCCAATAAAGAGGCTTCTCACACAGTGTTTGGATTTCTTTGGTTTTTACTGATGAGCACGAAAGCTCCGCTCAGGAACTGCAGCTAACAAGTCAGGTGGTTTTCAAAGGCGGAAGTACTGCCTGAGTGGCTGCTGGCGGGTTGGGGGTGGGGGGGGGTGAGGAAGTAAAGTACACGCTGGTGATGGGAAGGACTTTCGGGTCAACTAAGGTGTCACCGGCTCTGTGAGCACGGCCAGCCACAGAGCCACCGAGTCTTGAACTGGTTCCAGGAGAACAAACACTTCTTCCAGAAATGCACATGCTTTGAAGGAATATCTGTGGGAAAAAAAATTGGGAAGTTTCTTTGGGAAATCTATAGAAAGAGTTTTCTATTCCTCTTATTGAACAGTGGGCTTTCGCTGGGGGGTAGGAGTTAGTTCTAGGGTCTATCCGTTTGTCTGCAGTGGGTGGGTCTTCTCTAATGGGAAGTGGCTAATTTACACAAGCATGAAAGGACCACGGACTTCTAAAGTGTCATGGGGGCCAGACTTGGCTTCTCGAACTAGCTGTGTGACCTTGAGCAAGTTACCTAGGCTCTCTGGGAGCTCCACACTGAGCTGTCAAGTGGAAATAACTACCACCTACTTGAGGGTTGTGAGGATGCAGTGAAAATGCATGGAAAGGCAATAGCTGTTTGGCTGCCTTGTGAGAAGGTAGTTAAGCAGGAAGCACTTTCACAGGAGGGTCTTTTCAAGGCAAAGGTAACTTACTTCGTCCACATTGATTGCCTCCTTGGTACCGGCTTAAGAGGTCTCACCTAGACAGGAAGGGCCAGTGTCTGCCCTCTGCCAGGTGTGGCTTACTGTGGTGGTGAATTCTGGGTGGCAGGAACCCCTTGGGATGCCATCGCGACAGTTCCTGCTCTGCGAGGTAGCTGTTCCTCTCACCACTCTTCGTGAAATTCCATTTTGGTTAACGTATTGTGGCGGCCGGTCTATTTAAGTATTATTTCCAAATTTCAGGATAGAGCCCCTCGGTGAGAAGCCTCGCACCGGGGTACCTGTCCTCAGTAGGGACTGGATGGCACCTCCTTGATCTTTTACCCCCAGGGCTCGGAGCCCATCAGTGAGTGCCCGCTGAACGCCGCGCAGCACGTGTAACTGATGGGTTCTCAGTGTGTGGGGCTAGGCCCTGTTTCCGCGGTTTACGACGGCTTACGTTTACTCATTCACCGAACACAATCCTATGGAGCAGCACAGCAGGTTCCCCAGCTAGGAGTAACGTGCTCAAGGTCAGAATGAGAAGTAGCAGACAGTCGTGGTCTTGAATGGAGGCAGTCAGACCCCGGAGCCCGCACTCCGGGCCGGGTTGGCTGATCTGAGAACTAACGCTGAGCACCCAGCGAAGGCGCTCGCGCAAAGCCCAGCTTTTCTTCCCGCTGCGACGTCCACGCTTTCGGGACTACATTTCCCAGCGCCCCCTGCGGGCCGGTCCCTCGCGTTTGGACTACATCTCCCACAGGGCCTTGCGATCCCGCCCCCGATTTCCTGAGCCGCGCGGGGCCGCACCGCCCCCGTGGGACTTCACTTCCCGGCGGCGCCCGCGGGGGTGGGGGCGGGGCGCGGCGGGGCGGCCCGAGGCGGGGGCCGCGGGCGGCCCGGGGCTGGGGAGGCCGCCGCCGCCTCCCTGGGCCTGCCGGGGCGGCCGCCTCCGCGATGCCGCTGCTCGTCGAGGGGCGGCGAGTGCGGCTGCCGCAGTCCGCGGGGGACCTCGTGCGCGCCCACCCGCCTCTGGAGGTGAGCAGGGCCCGGGCGGGGGGACTTCGAGGCAGGCCTGGGGGGAGCTGCCGGACGCGCCCGACCCTCCTCGCCCCGCCGCCTCCAGAGCTCTTCCCCGGGCCGGATTTAAACTTGGCGCAGCTGAGCCGCTGTCGGCACGTTGGGAGCCCCGGCCGCCCGCAGCGCTCTTATGCCTTCTCTCGGGGCATCTGTGGGGCTTTCACCTACCTTGGGCCATCGAGGGCACGTGCCAAGGCCTCTCTTTGCCGGCAGAGGGGCCGGCGGCCCAGAGAGGCTAAGCGACTTGCCCGAGTTCGCACAGCATCGCGGCTGGAGGGCGCCCGGAGGACGCCTGGGGACTCTCGACTCTGGGCGGGCGGGTCCCCACCCCGAGCTGGACTTGGCCAGGCCAACCTGGGTAGCGCCCCAGCGCGGGGGCTCTCCCGGGGGCCCGCACCCCGCGGGGAGCGGCTCGCCCCAACTGGCTTCGGGCCGGGGCACCAGGCCGCTCCCCCTGGCTCCCTCCTCCGCACGGGGCTCAGGGTATTTTTAGCCTGAAAAAGGGCCCTGCTTTCTCCCCAGCTGAGCGGTGTTGAGGACCACGCCCTGATGGGAGAAGGGTTTAGGTTCTGTTTCGTCTTCTTGCTTTTGTCCTCAAGCAGGTCTGTGAACCCCTCGTCCATGCTTATGCAGACGGTTTGGAAAGGGGTTCTTGGGTCCAAACCTTCCACTTGCCCCGGATCTAGTGAAGGGGGGAATCAGCCAATTCATTGATTGGAGGTACACGCTGAGCCTCCACTCCTTGCTGGGCGCCGTGCTGACCTCTTTCCTACAGTCAGGGCCGACCGCTTTGCAGCCTAGTTAGAGGGCATGGTTTTTAACCACAGAAAGGCTCAAAGACGTCAACTGTTAAGTGCCGTGAAGGCTGAATGTCCCCTTTCACTCTGAAATGTGAGGCAGAGGACCTGGACTACTCTGTAGGTTCCCGGAAGGTATTTTTGAGGTTTCCTCTGTGACCTTTGCAGTTTGTAATTATTTTGTCTGCATGGGCTTTTTTCTTTTTTTTTAATTGTCCCTTGATCTGTCCCCCCAGAATGTAAACTTCCTGAAAGCAGACAAAGTATGTGTCACTGTTGGTGTCCTCAGAGGCTGGGGCAGCCGCTGGCAGTGAATCTGCACTTTGTAATTTACTTGTTAGATAAATGAGTGAACACAGCGACTCCTGAAAATGACTTGAAGGTTGAGGAGTTCGCGACCGGGGAAAGGGGACCGCGCTATGACTCTCAGCTTGCATTTTGGGAAGACCGTGGGAATCTTAGCCAGCACCTACTGGGTACTTAGACACTACGCACTGCACTGTGCTAAGCACTTTCCTTGGGGCACATCGCTGTCACATCCACCGAGGGGAAAAAATTTCAGCTGCCTAAGGAATTAAGGTGACAGCATCTTTCTGTCTGTCTGAAAATTTCTGTGATAAAGAGTTGGAAAGCTCAGTGTTCAAGGTGGCACAGTCAGTGTGGAGGGGAGGGGGGAAGGGGGCGGAGGGATGTGACAAGCCAGGGTGGCCTGCCATCTTGAAGGGAAAGGCCACGTCCTGGGTGCCGATTTGCATCACAGGAAACTGGGGGATGGGTCACATAGCCCCACTTAGCCATTGTAGGGAGGAAGCTTGGGCGCAAGGGAGAGACTTGAATGGGGAGGGAGGAGAGAGCATTCTAGGAAGGTGAGCAAGCAAGACAGCTAGGTGGGGGGGCGGGGAGCAGGCGCCCTGGGGTCAGGCGGACGGAGAGAGGAAGGCAAACCCTGCGAGGTGGGTCGCACCTGGATTAGAGGAGTTTTTGGTGGCTCTTTCAAGGAATAAGGAGGAGAAGATGAAAAGTTTCATGACATTCTTTTTCTTTCTATAACAAGTAGCGTGTCCCCTTTGTAAGAAAAAGAACACAGAAATGTCACAAAGAAGAAAAAAATTCATCTGGGACTTTTGTCATTCTTGCCGTTTTGGTAAACGCCCTTCCAGAGGTGTTTCTTTGTATAGGAATGGTACCCTTCTAGAAACGAGAGCGTGCCACCTGTTCTGTGATGTGTCTTTCCCGTCACCACCTGGCCCACGCAGGACCAGCGGTTACCAGCCTGTCCCTCGCCACGCCCAGCGCAGAATAATAACCGCTAGTTGTTAGTCCCATTTCACAGACGAGGACTGGGAGGCCCAGAGGCGTGGAGCGGGTTGTCCGGGGTCCCACGTCCCCAAAGTGGCGAAGACCCCGCCGGGACCCTGGCACAGTGCCCTTGAGTCTAGAAGTGCGGTGCTCAGTGCAGCGGCCCCGGCCTCGTGCGGCCAGTGGCCGCTGTGCGAAGGTTGCCGTCCCCGCACGGAGTCCCTCCGGGCCGTGCTGCGAACCGGTCACCGGGCGCTGGGTCGGCGGCAGTGGCGGCGTGTGGCTCCGTAGGCTCCCACGCTGCGAACGCGCCGTAACTTAGTTCCTGCTGCTGAGCGCGGAGGGGATTTAGAAATCTGCGTGGGGAACAGTCGCGGAGCTACGGCTTCATAAACCCCGTCATTATTCCTCCAAGTGAAATCGCTGGACTGCAAGGATTTCCGAGCAGAGAAGGGGTGTCCCCAAGGCCGCGTTTTGAAGCCGTGATGCCAGCGGGCGTAGTGACAGCCCCTTTCCCCCCCGCAAGCCTGCCGCCGCCAAGCCTCACACAACCCAGGGAGCAGACGACGGCATGGCCCCTTTTCCCGCAGGAGGGGAACCGAATGTAGAAGCGGGGGGGAAGAGCACGTGACCATGGAGAATTTGGGGTCTGAATTTGGGGTCCGGGGCCTCTAGTCCCGTGCTAGCCCACCAGCCAAGAATGGTTTTTACATGTTTAAATGGTGGGGGTTTAAAAAAAAAAAAATCAAAAAAACACTTTCAGGGCCCCCCGGGCGGCTCAGTTGGTTAAGTGTCTGACTCTTGGTTTCAGCTCAGGTCGCAATCTGAAGGTTGGTGAGTTCGAGCCCCGCATCGGGCTCCTCACTGAGCTTGGAGCCCGCTTGCTCTTCTCTCTCCACTCCCCTTCTCTTGGCCCCTCCCCCCTACTCTCAATAATAAAATAAAAACATGTACAAAAATGAGCACTTTCGAGACGTGTGAAATTGTATGAAGTTAGCTCAAATTTCTGCGTCGCCCATTATTCACGTCTTCCGGCGACACGGTGGCATCCGTTTGTTTATGTGTTGTCCCGGCCGCTTTCAGGCTACACAGCAGAGCCTAGTGGTGGCAACAGGAGGCCGCACCCCAGCAGAGCCCAAAATAGTTCCTGTCCGGCCCTTTTCAGAGGAAAGTTTGCTGAGCCCCGGCCCAGGAGGGCAGCGACGTGGGACGGGAGCTGGGAAAGGAGGGCCTCCCGCACAGGAGAGGTGGTTTTGTTTTTTTTTTTATCGTGAATGTTAGTGTCCAGAGAGGATCAGAGGCCGAGAGGCTGGCCTCCTCTCTCCCGGGAAGGGACGGGGGGGTTAACGGAGTCGCTCTCTGTGTGTTTTCCACAGAGGAGAAGTTTGGCTGTGCTTTTTTCTTTTGTTAAAAGCGGAAAACCAAAACAACATGTTCTTTGCGCTTTGTGGCTTCATCTCCTGATGATTTATGCCTCTGTCTGGGAAACAGTACAGTGGGGGGGGCGGTGGAGAGGGTGTGGAGGGGTAGGGGGGCTGAGGGCGGGTGGGGGGGGAGCCGGGACGTTGTGATTTTTGGTCTCGGGCACGCAAGTGGCCGTTCACACGCACACCCGGCTTTGCTTTCGGGGTGGTGGCCCCGGCGTGGACATCTGTGGCCAGAAGTGGCCCTGGCCCTCCCCCCCCTGCCCCTGAAAGAACAGAGCTCAAGGTCAGTATTCAGGGGCCGATGGAAAGGAGAGTCTGTGTTGTCCTGTGTCTAATTTCGAGTCAAGGTGAGGTGACAACGGTGTGACACGCAGAGCACTCGTGAGGCGAGCTGTTTACCGAGTTGCGGAGGCGTGAGTCATGGCCGATCCCTCCCTGACTGGCCCGGCCGGCTGACGTGGCCTTTCACTTACTCCTTCTCGTCTGTTCTGTCGAGGAGCCATCATGCTAACGGCTACTTTGCTTCCAGGGAATGGCAGTTTGTTAAGAGAAGAGAACTCTGGGTAACTGATCAAGCTGATTGTGATTTTTTTTTTCTATCTTGTATTTTATTATTGACGAAGCAAGCAAGCGCCAGCCTCAGTGGGCGCCCATCCTGACCGTGGCGAGTTTCCCGTGTGAGACCGTGAGACCGTGCAGCTGGGGTCTGGTGTGGACACCACAAAGCTCCTCTGGGTTTGCCCATTTGGGTAGGAGTCTGTTCTTCGAGGAGTTTACTTGTTGCAACTAACAAGGAAATAGTGATCCAGCTACGTCCCCTGTGATGACGTAAATTCTTGGATCAATCAATAAAATTTTTTAATGTTTATTTTTGAGAGACAGTGGGAGAGGGAGAGAGGCATAGAGCGAGTGAGACACAGAATCTGAAGCAGGCTCCAGGCTCTGAGCTGTCAGCACTAAGCCCGACACAGGGCTCGAACTCGTGAACTATGAGATCATGACGTGACCCAGAGTCGGACACTTAACCGACTGAGCCACCCAGGTGCCCCTCAGTCTGACGTTTTTGAAAAGTTTGTTTTCATTAAAGAATCTGACCACGTGAGGTTTTTTTTTTAAAGTGTACTGTGTAAGACTTTTAAAAATTTTAATTCCTGTGCAGTTAACATATGGTGATCATTAGTTGCAGGGGCACAGTCTAGCGGGTCAACACTTGCACCCACGACTCCGGGCTTCCGGCGGAAGAATTTCTGTCGGTATGAAGTGAGAGGTTTGGACTCCCAATATTAACACCCTTTTTCTAAATTTGCTGATTGATGATGGGCCCTTTCTGGTTGTCTGCGTCTGTCACAACTGCATCATAGCACAATTATGGCGTTGTGACAAGGCGACAGCACACACTAACGCGCCCTGTGTGGCCGTGGCCATGCGGGTGAATCTCCTCCGGGTGCAGCCTCCTGTGTGGCAGCGCTGGAGCCCTGCGGCAATCACTGCATGGTTATGATTTTTAAATTATTTTTTTAACATTTTTGAGAGAGAGAGAGAGAGAGAGAGAGAGAACATGAGTGGGGGAGGGGCAGAGAGAGAGGGAGACACAGAATCCGAAGCAGGTTCCAGGCTCTGAGCTGTCAGCACAGAGCCCGATGTGGGGCTCAAACCCACGAACTGTGAGATCATGACCTGAGCCAAAGTGGGATGCGTAACCTACTGAGCAGCCCTATTTGTAACCTCTAAAGGTTGTTTTGTTTTGTTTTTCTCTTCTTGTCAGTGTATGTTTCAAAACCACTTTCCCCTAGTCTCCGTTTTTCCTGAGTGCGTGTTAGTGTGAGTCAGTTGTGCATAAGTCACCCGCCTCTGCTGTTAAGCAACACAGGGCTGTGCGCTGGGGAGGAGGGGGTTCCCCAGGCCTGATCCCCAGCGTGGGGACGACCAGCTCCGGGGCAGGGCCAGCAGGCGCCTCTCTCACACGAGGGCTGCGCTTCGGGGCCGGCTGGGTCCTTGCGCAGACGGTCAGGGTCCCCTCCCGACGGGAGCCCCGGAGAGTCCCTTGCTCTTGTGGAGAAGGGGCTACACTCTGGCCTTGTGGGTTAAACAGAGCACAGAAGCTCGCCTTGGCCTTGGCCTTGCCCCCCGCGGTAGTGGCCGCGCCCCGATCCGCAAGCCTGGCCGCCGGTGGCGCCCCGCCCTGGCGCTCGGCGGACCCGCCACCCCTCTAGGTACCCGGCCCTCACTAATTTCCGTCCCTCTTTTATTTTTTGTTTGTTTGTTTTAATTGAACAGGAAAGAGCCAGACTTCTGAGAGGTCAGTCTGTTCAGCAAGTGGGACCCCAGGGCCTCCTGTATGTTCAGCAGAGAGAGCTTGCGGCGGCCTCCCCGCAGGATGGTAGGTTAGGAAGCCGTGCGCTGGGCCTTGTCCCCGGGGCCGCCGGGTCCTTCATTCTCTCTCTTTTCCAAACAGGCTCCATCTCCATTCTGGGTTCGGATGACGCCACCACTTGTCACATTGTGGTCCTGAGGCACACAGGTATGCGAGAGGGAGGAAGGGCCCCACCGCGCGTCTCTGCACTTGGGATTCCCGGCGTCCTGCCCGCAGCCCTCCCCCCCCCCCCACCCGTCACTCTAGTCCGCGTGGCATCTCCCTGGCACCCCGGTCACAAGGGTTGGCGGGGCAGCATAGATCCTTCTAGATCTTCCTCCGGGGTATTGACACAGGAGGTGTCAGAGTAGATCTGGCTCGTGCTCGGAGCTCTCGCCCTGGGTAACACGCGTCGTCGCCCTGTTTGCTCCAGGTAACGGGGCCACCTGCCTGACCCACTGTGACGGCAGCGACACCAAAGCAGAGGTCCCCCTCATCATGAGCTCCATCAAATCCTTCTCGGACCATGCTCCGTGTGGAAGGTGAGCGCCACGCTCCTCTGCCCTGTCGTGTACAGGGGACGGCTGTGGCCGCCACACGGGAGGCCACCGCCATGGTGGCCGGCTCGTTCCTTTGGAGCCGAGCCGGCACAGCGTGGGCCCCTTGCCTGTGGCCGTGGGGCGAGTGGACCGTGTGGCGGGTGCAGGCCGGCCTGTGGGTGAAGGTTTGACTTTGAACCTCGTGTGTTCGCACCTGTGCTGTTGCGGGATGTTCACGCGCCACCACCCGCTCCTCCCTCCCCCTCCCCCACCCCGCGCCCTCTCTTCATTCATTCGTTTCGGCAGCTCCTTGTTGGTGTCTGCTCCGAGCGAGACGGGGCTAGAGGCGCCGGGGGCGTAGCTGTGACCTGTAGGCAGATCCCCGCCCCAAAGCGCTCCTGCAGCAAGGAGACCGGCAGTAAGCAAAACAGGGTGTTCGGCGGGGGGGGGTACTGCGGAGGCCAGCGAGGCAGGGGGGAGCCCGATGTGGGGCGGCGGGCCTGCGGGGGGTGAGGGTGCAGTTTCCCTGTCACGTGGCTGCCCCCCCCACGGCTGTCACCCTGGGACGTGGGGACCTGGTCACACGGCTGGGGGTGGGGAGTGGGGTCGGGTCCGGGGTCTGGCGGAGGAGAGAAGGCCTGGGGTAGCCGCGGGGGGGGTCTGGTCCCGTCACATAACGTTCTCAGAAGCCTAGGGATTTAACAAAGTAATAATAAAGCTCCTCTGCCCAGTGTCACTAGGGTCACACAGGCCGGGCCAGCGCAGGGGCAGTGACTTTGCACTGGGCCGTGGCGGCGGGAGGGATTCTTGATGTGTCCACGGAGCGCACGTGGTCGTTCGGGAAGGTCTGCAGCGCACCTGGGAAGGCGGCCCCGGGCCGAGCAACCCCGTGTGACCGCGGTGCCTCGTGCTGGTTCGGGTTCCCTGGATGGAAGGCGGGGTCCCGGGTTGTCCCAAGCTGCGGACGAGGGCGTGTCCTGTGCTAGTGTGTGCTGTGACAGCCCCCGGAAGGGCCACCCTGAGGGAGTAGCAGGGTCCCCCAAACCTGGAAAAGCTGGCATGGGGGTGGGGGGAGCATGGCCTGTAGAAACAGACCTGGTTCCCTTCTTGAAATTGGAGGTGACAGTCCCTCTCTCCAGGTTTGATGGACAAGAGATGGCGTGGTGAGGGGTTGGCCGTCCCCCCTTCCCGGCCCCGTACCCCGCTTCCCCTTAGGCGGAGACGCTGAAGAGGTTTCTGGAGGGGCCCGCGCAGGGCGTCCTGTTCTCCCAGAGCGGGGCTCTCGCCCCCCGCACTGAGGCCGCCCGTGTGCAGGTGCAGCGCCCGGCCCGCCACCGGCCCAGTCCCCGGCGGCTCGCGCGGCCCTGGCAGCCTCCCCCGTCTCCCCCGGCGCCACCCGGATGTGTCCTCCCTGCACGGACGAGGCCCGGGAGGACGCGCCCCCGCAGAGCGCGGCTTCGGGGAGGCGGAGAGCCTCTGGGTCCCCAGCAGAGCAGAGCGAAGCCAGGGCGCCCCGGGGCCGGAGTGCTGGCCCCTGACCGCGTTGCGTCTCTTTGCCAGGCTCGAAGTGCACCTCGTGGGAGGCTTCAGCGACGACAGGCAGCTGTCACAGAAACTTACTCATCAACTCCTTAGTAAGTTCGCGCCCTCCCCCTCCCCCTCTAACGTTGATGAAAACTCGCCCCCACTTTCCCTTAAGTCACAACGCTAGTCAGTGCACAGCCTCCCGGGGACAGCTGCTCGGAGCAGCCCCGACGGCTCGGCCTGGACTCGGCCGGGGGCGCCGAGCTGCGATCGCAGGGGCCGGTGGGACAGGGAGGAGATTTTCCTGGGGAGATCAGTCGACACAGTCCAGAATGGGAGACGCTAGTGGTAAACGGAAAGGTGAATCAAACTGTGACCAGCCCTCTGGGCGGCGATGTCCATTTCAATCTGTAGAAAGTTAACACACCGATGATGCCAGTTTTTCCCTGTTAAATGAGTGAGGATTACAAACAAGGCCTCCGTCCGCGTTAACCGTGAGGCAGCGAGGCGGGCCTCTCCACACGGCACCCAACATCCGGTGTGTGACCTGTCGGCAAAGCAGCGTGGCATCGCGGCTTAAGTTTTGAAAGTTCCTATCCCTTGCCCTCGTAATTCCCCTTCTGGGAATCTGTTGTAAGAAAGTAATCGGCGGTGTGCACGGAGGTTTATGCCCACATATGGGCAGCAGAACGTTCTTTACATTAGGAAACGGTCTAAAGTCGAGTAAAGAAATTGTTAGTAGCCGTTGCAGAGTGCGGAGGAAGAGGTGTGAACTGCACGGGAAGACGTGCCCAGAAGGCCAGGACTCAGGGTCGTCTGTGTGGCGCGGGCTCAGCTGCACAGGGCGGGAGGAAAAAAAATAAATACACAGACCGTCAACTGCTGGGACTATGGGCACTGAAGCCTTTAACTTGTTCCGTTAAAGACCCATGTACTTGCCTGTGTTTTCCACTTTTTTTTTTTTTTTTTACAGTGATCAAGTTTTTTTAATGACTGAAAATAAGGGGAAAAGTTAAGAGTAAACGTTTTTAGAGTCTATTGTTCCCACAATCCCCTCAGAAGGGAGAGACAAAGGGACAGCCTTGATCACAGCTTCCTTTGTTTTTTTGTTTTTTAAATTTATTTTTGAGAGAGCGAGCGAGCAAGTGTGAGCAGGGTAGGGTCAGAGAGAGAGGGAGACACAGAATCTGAAACAGGCTCCAGGTTCTGAGCTGTCAGCACAGAGCCCGACGCAGGGCTTGAACCCACGAACTGTGAGATCATGACCTGAAATGAAGTAGGACACTTAACTGACGGAGCCACCCAGGCGTGGTGGCTTTCTTTGGGCCAAGGCTAGGGACGTGCCTGTCACCTGGCAGGCAAGGCCCCTCGGTGGCAGTTCCCAGGAATCTGGCTTCCGTGGACGGGCCAGGTGGCGGTGGAAAGGGGAGGGGGACAGAGAAGGCCTGGCCCCATCCCGACTGCTCAGCAGGATTCCGACATCCACTTTGAAAATTCTCATTGTAGGTGAGTTTGACAGACAAGAAGAAGACATTCACTTAGTGACACTGTGTGTGACAGGTGAGTTCTGCTATCCTCCCAAAACCAAGCTGGCGCCCTCACCCTTAAAGTAAAACCTCACACGAGCCCCTCAGCCACGGGAGGCCCCACTCCGCCCTCTGGATCCAGTGGCCCTCCCGCCCCCCCACGCCCCAATCCGGGTCGGCCTCTGAGGACATCCTGATCCCCCCACTTCCATGCAGCCCCTCTTTCCTTCCTTGGGGTTTTCAGAAGCTTCCTCTGCTCCTGGGAAGAGGGGACCGGACCCAGGGAGCCGCGCCACCATGCGGGGCAGGTGGCTGAGCGCGGAGGGAGCCAGGAGGCGCCCACTCGGGACGGGCATTTGCTTCAGTGGAAACCCAATGGCCCTGGTGGGACCTGGCCGGGAACCAGGAACCCGGTCCCTTGTGTGTCCTGACCTTTCCTCCCGTCGCGGTGTGGGCTCCTACTTGGCCTCAGTTACAGAAAACGAAAGCAGCTGTTGAGTATTTTTAAAAGTCCGTTCTTAAAAACAATTTTGCTTTGTGCTGTTAGAATTAAATGACCGGGAAGAAAATGAAAAGCACTTTCCAATCATCTACGGCATCGGTAAGTAGTGCGTTTCCCGGAGCCCCCCGGGGGGCAGGCAGCCTGCCTTCTCTGGCCTCTGCCCACAGAACAGGGATGTCCTAGACCACAGGGGTCGGTTGAGGTGGCGGAGGTGAAGCTGGGCAGGGGCGGCGCCTGCTGGGGGCTGGCGGAGGACGGGGTCCCGCTAAGGAAAGCGTCGCGCCCACAGGCCGAGGAGAAGCCGGAGCTCTCCCGCCACGGCCCCGGGCGGGTCGGAGCCCGTGCAGTGTCCTGCTCCATCTGTGACGTCCGAGCGGGGCGCGCAGGGCTTTACCTTCCGTTCCCTGTACACACGACCCCAGGCCGCACATCTGCCCCCAGCGCGGCCACGGCGCTGCCCAGGGGGGTCGCCCCGCGCCAGCGCGAAGAGTGGCTCTTCCCATGGAAGGAAGTGTTCCCCTGGTCCAGCCCGGGCCCCGGGGTTGGCTGAAAGGCGGCCTTTTCTGTCCCCACGACTGCGGAAGCCGCAGACGCTTCGCGGTGGCATTCCAGCCACGCCACTCTTCCCTGCCTCGGGTGACCCGCCGTGTTCGGTCATCTGTGCTGGTGGACGTTGTACGCTCTGCCAGCTTTGCACGTGTGCCTTCAGTCCATGCCGAGATCTCTCTGTCCCCACAGCGGTCAACATTAAAACTGCCGAGATTTACAGAGCCTCCTTCCCGGACCGAGGCCCCGAGGAGGAGCTGCGTGCCGCCCGAGCGCTGACGGGAGGCCCGGTGAGTCTGAGACCCTGTGTGTTAAGGGGAAAAAGGGCATCCCGTTCCGGAGCCTCAAGGTTTATAGTCTTCAGAAAGGAAAAGCTTTTGTTTCTTTAAAGGACCTGGGATCACTTCTTTCTCTCTCACACGCGAATAACGCACAATTTTAGGCTCTAACTTCAAGACCCCAGTTCTCGGCTTTGAAGGTGTAAAGGTGTGGAAAAAAGAGTGCAGGCAGATTCCTCACTGATGAAATGTTGACATTTTCCGAGGAAAATGTGTGCATTCGCGGTGGTCTCTTTTGCCAAACCTTTAACATTTGTAAGATTCCTTCTGCGATTTCTCAAGTAGCAGGATAGCCTTGGTTTAGCTAACATTCAGAACCTGTTTTAGTCTCAGGAACCAAAAGCCAGCATTGCTGGTTAAGCTGAAAACTATCAGTAACCAATTGGGGAACTCAGAGACCTGATCGTATGGCAAATTAGCACCTTCTTTGCTATTGATCAGGCAGCCTGCACTGTGCTTTTTTCTTAATTACAAAATTTGTTAAATGCTTACTCATATTTGAGAGGTAGAGCGCAAGGAGGGGTGGGACAGAGAGGGAGATGCAGAATCCGAAGCCAGGCTCCAGGCTGAGCCCGACATGGAGCTCCAACTCCTGAACTGCGAGATCCTAAACTGAGCTGAAGTCAGATGCTTTACCTACTGGGCCGCCCATGCGCCCCGCACTGTGCGCTTTTAAGGTGCAAGGTCCTTAGTTGCTGGGGCAGAAATAAGGAGGTGGTGTTTTATGTAGCACTGAGGCCCGTGGACCGGAGTCAGACACCCCTGGGTGTGCGGCCCGGCTCTGATGCTTACTGGAAACGCGGCCGTGGGCAAAGTGCCTGTCGGTCTGAGCCTCGGGTTTCCAACCAAAGCAGGGAAAACGCTGTCTTCCCAGAGGACGGCTGTCAGGACGAAGGGCCCTAGCGCACGCGGCTCACTGCAGGACCCGAGCCGCGGCGGTGCCCGGTGCGGAGCAGGTTCGCTACTGGACGCTGGGAAGCCGCGCGCCCTCCACATAAAAGCCCACCGCGCTGGGGCTCGCGCTGAGGGTGGGGCCCGACACAGCGGGGACTTGCCTTCAGTTCTGTCCGCGGGACGTTCCTTCTCAGATGGTTAGTATTTACGACGCGAGGACGGAACAGCTGCGCCTAGGACCGTACTCCTGGACGCCGTTCCCACACGTGGACTTCTGGCTGCGCCAGGACGACCAGCAGATACTGGAGGTGAGGCCCTCCGGCCCGGGCGGTCCTAAATCTCCGCACCCCGGGTTCTTCGTCTGAGAGCACGGCTGCTCTTCCTGCAGCGGGTGGGGTCTGGTTTCAGGACGCCGCCGGCAGAGCCCGCTTGCCCTCGGGTCCGGCGGGCGTTCGCGTGGGGCGAAGGAGCACGCGCCCCGCTGCTGTGTCCTCGCCAGGGCGGTGCTCCAGGGCGTCCTCTCCGGCCGTACCATTCGTACGTGCTCGGCAGTCTGAGGGCGTCCGGCAGCTTACTCCTCTCTCAGACCCAGACTCTTGTTTTTCCAGAACCTCTCCACCTCACCTCTGGCCGAGCCGCCCCACTTTGTTGAACATATTCGATCTACCTTGATGTTTTTAAAAAAACACCCATCTCCTACCAGCGCGCTCTTCCCCGGGAACAAGGCCCTACTCTACAGAAAAAATGAAGCTGGCTTGTGGGAAAAGATCTCTTCCCCAGGAAGCTAACGGCGGGCGTCACCAAAGAGAGCACCTTGCTGGCCTGCCAGACACCGCCGAGGGGCCCGGAGAGACCGTGAATCCAAATCTGCATCCGCAGAATCTTCGGTCTCCCTCCTTACCGTCCTCCACATGACTTTAAAAATAAAATCTTATTTTGGCGAAGGCACTTGTCAGGTGTGCTTTCTGCGTCTCTGAAGCCGACGCCCGGCCCTGCAAGCAGCCACATCCCCCCTGCGGTAAGTAGTTCTCCTTCCGCTAAATTAGGGAGGGACTCAAGGAAAAATCATACAGGAGCTGGTTTAAAAATACGGTATCTCAGATGCAGAATTCCGTGAAAACCTCCATCTCCCAGAGGGGTTTCTCGGCCCCAAAATATTTTAGTAGTGCTAATTCCAACTGAGACTCCCCTTTCCGATGAAGGGGATGAAAGGCTCAGAGGGAAAAATTAATTAAGAGACTAAACTTAACGTGAGAGCTCCACGACGCCATTGCTAAGGCTGTTCTCCGGCTGAGAGGTCAGACTTCTGAGCCCTTCATGTCAAGTTGCCATCCTCAGGGGGCTCACTCTGCCTAATGACCATTTAGGAACTGAACTCACTGGTAACAATTTCAAGAACCTTTATTGAAACCAACATTCAGATAGTATCTTAAGGGTGAAATTCTGTTTCAGCAAAACCAATTTAACAATTCCAAATATATATAAAAACATTTAAAAATTAATCTTGTTGAAGGTGATAATTTCCCCATTTTATCTGCTATACTTCATTGCACCAAATAAACAGGGAAGACTTTAATCATCTGCACCAAGGAAAATAAAAAATAAAAAGGAAAACTGCATTTTGACAAGTGCCAAAAGTCAGAAATCACATCAGATTATAGGCTTAATATGGTGTAACTAAGGCTTCCAACACGACCGTCCACACCCCAGTGTGAATGAACCCCCACCGGCCTGAGGAGTCCCAAAGCCGGACTCGGCTGGACTAAAGGCACAGACGCCTTACCTATGAGAAAGGAAGCGATGCGGTACTTCTGGACAAGTGGAAACGGGAAGTAATTAAGAGCTTACTTCCAGGATTTCAGCAGGGGTCTGGCTTCATCAGCCTGAGCCAAGAGGACTTTTCTGGTCCTTGTTTCTGAGTTGGGCCTGAGGGGGTGAGCTGCTAGTGGGGAGAAGCCACAGATACTCCCATATAAAACAGGCCAAAAGTGTACTTATTTTAGGATTGAAACTTAACTGGGTGCCACACAGCAGACTTAGTAGGAGGTTAAGAGTAGCGTCTATCAGGTTTTCAGATATTAAACATAGAAATGAGCACAGTCTGTATCTGTGTGCCAATTTAAAAGCTTTACCAGTATTTAAAAATATACATATATACGGTCAAGAGTTTTACAGTTACTCTTAGTAGACAGTCCTTTAATTTGTTTACAAATAGTAGATAAAGGGAGGACTGGACTTGGGGCGGAGGGAGTCGCTTGCGCACGCCCCTGTCTACACCTTGGAAGCGGCGGCTGGGACTCTGGTGCACATCCCGCCGGATCAAAGGCCGGCCAGCGTACCCCGACCCCGCGCAGAGGCTGCGCTCCTCTCCCAGGCGGCAGCACAGCAGGGAACCCGAGGGCTCTACAGCTGTCTTACCGAGAAGTTACCGCGTGGAACCTCCTAATGTTACGCTTATGTCTTAGGAAAATAAGCGCCAGGGTTCCAAGCGGCAGGCACGTGAGACTGTAAGTGTTCCCGGGAGCACACCGTGTTTCTGGGGACGTAGGGGGGGAAACGGTATTACCTACGGGCGCGTGGGCAGGATCAGCAGCCGTCCCCCTACAGGCCCAGCAGTTGAGAGCAGTCCACGGCCCTCCCCAAAGCCTGGCGTTCAGGCCCAGGCGTGTGCAGACTTCCCGGGGAAGCAGGAGGAGCGGCCGTGCCTCCGGGTTAGCGTGCGGCACGGTTCACATTTTCAGTACAACGTCATCTTCCCTGAAACAACACTCGGTCCGGTCTCAAAGCAAACACTGGATTTTATCTTAAGCTCTCCGGTTCTTCTACCTGTGGACGGTCCTCTCGTGGGCGCTGGGCCCCGTTCTCGAAGGCCCCTGTCCGCTCGGCCTCCTGCGGGGGGCGGCCCCCGGGGTGCGGCTCAGGGCGGGCAGGCTCCAGGCCGTCTGGCTCCGGCGCCCCGGACAGATGCTCCAGCTTCTCTAAGTCTTCAACGTGACTGACCGAGCTGGTCTCGCTCAGGGCATCGGAGCCTCGCAGGGACCTCTTAAAGGGCTTCTGGCCTAGAGGAAGGTCCGCGGACAGTGCGACAGTGCTGAAGGCTCCACGCAGCCAGGGACTGCTTTACTTAATCACAGCTGCTTCCAGAGACAGCCCGCGACCCCCAGCCCTGAGGCACTGAAGTGAGGAGGTGAGAAGCGGGAGCTGACAGGACCCCAACATGGGCCGGAGGTCATGGTCAGGAGAGGCTCGGGCGAGTAAACACAAGTTGAACGCGATGCCCGCTCTCAAGACCCTAACTTCCGCCCTGGGGTGCCGCGGGGAAGTTCTCCCGGACGGAAGCCCCAGGCTACTGAAACGGACAGCGAAAGGGACAGCTGCTCTTCAGCGAGGACAAACGGGACACGGCATTACCTGTGTTCCTGTTTTCCCGGCGCTTTGACCCCAACAGGAAAAGCCTCCCAAGACGCCAAGGTCTGTGTTCCCAAGACAAACCCCCGGGTCTGTTCAGCGCTAATAAACTCCCAAGATGCCGCCACGTACCTGGGAGCCTCTGCTTGGCGCGAGTGCCCGAGGGCGTCTGCGGCGGCGTGACTCCTGCGCCTTGTGCCTTGTGGACGTACGTGTGTTCTGTGGACTCCAGGGAGCCTGCCAAGGGAGGGACAGCGGTGTGCAGGAGCTCCCGGCCCCGGCCCCCGCGGCCTCGGTCCTCAGGAAACTCGCTCTGGCCACTGGGCCTCGCAGACGGGCAGAGGCTCCGGCCCTCCGGAAACGTGCTGGGAACCGGATGAGGCCACCTTGCAGCTGCGCTCACGAGGCCCCGCCCTGCCGGCGTGTTTCACCCTCAGCTCCCCAGGTGTCCTGTGCACACCCGGCCCCGGTGTGGCCCACGCGTGCGTGGGGACCCGGCCCGAGTGGGAACTGCACCGTAGCAGCAGGGACCAGATGCCTCTTTGCTGAAGGCGGACACTCAGAGCAATATAGTCAGAGTCCCTCTTCAGGTCATGGGCGCCCACGGTTTCCTAGGGAGGGCCCCGCGTTCAGGGAATCGTTCCCCCAGGAGAACGGGACAGATGGGGACCTAGAGGTGCACACCACCTTTCCCAAACCCCGGCGACTGGTCACACTTGCTGGCGGCCTGGTTTGAAATGAGCTGGTCCAGGGCTACAGACTACAATCTTCTCATCTCCACTGTCAAAAGCAGCCCCTTCCTGGGACAAATCACTAATGAGGACGGCAAGGAGGACTGACACCAAGCACTGACTACAGAGCTGGCAACCCTGCGAGTCTGGATGGCCGAGTGGCCACGTTCTGACCCGCCTCCAGGAAGGGGGGTCCACTGCAGACAACGGGGACCCGCTTCTGTGCCACCGTGGCTGCTGGGGCAGGACGGGGCGGACACGCCAGGCCTCCGGAGACAGACTTGGCCCCGGAGAGAGCCCCGGCTGCGCGCACACCAGGCCTCTCAGCTTGAGTGGGGGAGCCCAGGACCCTGGTCACAACTCGCAAGGTTATGAGGCCTGGGGTGACGTCAGTCCTACCTGCTGTTAAGTTGAAGGTCCTTCCCTTCTGCGAAGCTTGTACTGGAGAGAACCAGTTCAGTACGGACCCCACGACAGGGATCTGCCGCAGCACACCCTGCAGAACACAAGCCCCGCACGTGACTGTTGAGCCGGGCCCGCTCCCTGCACCCGGTGCAGGGCCCCCTCCCGGCCGGATGCCTGCTGGGAGTCTGGTGTGAGCCTCACCTCTTCCAGGAGCCGCTCCTCATTCGCCTTCTGCAGCTGAACCTGAGCTTCCTGAATCCCTTTCCGAACCACCTCTGTCATGTTTTCCAGAAGCTGTGTTAGGACCGAGAAAGGGATTACTTGTCTAAGCTTCCCACCCAGGACCTAGAAGAACTATTAACATAGCACTGGGATACTTTTCAAAAGAATGTTAGTAAATGGAATTCTGCACTTTACTTTGTAAAAAGTACTTTGTACAAAGGAAAACCGGCGAGTGAACAGAAGGGGATAAAACGCCCGGCTAAGAGGGACACACACCTTGGTGACCAGCCTCATCTGCCAGGGAAAGGAGGAGAGAAACTACTTTCCCCGTGACCTCAATGTCACATCAACAGAAAATAGACACATGCTCAATATTCATGGAAATGAATCAGAAGTGAGAGAGTGAGTTGAAGAAACTTCAAGAAGTCCACCCAACAATGATAAAGTTGGCTCCTCCGCCTCACAGCAAACTTCCTGCTCTCCCCGTCCCTATCAGCAACGGGCCACACCACACATGCCTGTCTCCTCAGACCCATCCCGTTATCATCCCTTCTCTGCTGCTGAGTGACTCCTAGAACTCACCCACCTGCTGTGGAGACGGTCCACCGGCTAGGCCTCCACGCCAGGCCTGCTGTCAGAAACCTGTCCACCCGCAGCCCTGGGATGCAGCTACGATCATGGAGGCTTCCCTCCCCTTGTCGCAGATGCCACCGTGTCTTCCCCACATGCTGTTACCCCTAACTTCTCTTCCATGGCATTAGCGCCCCACCTGACTACATGGATCTCTTCCCCGAGCCGTGAGCCCACTCAGGGCACCCACCGTGTCACATCCTCATGGGGTTCTGGAGTCCTGGGACAATGCTTAGCTCAGGAACCATTTACACACTCTTTTGGGAACGAACAGGTATTTCTGAGGGGACCTTCCTCCTTCGTGACCCCAGCTAGCTGCGTGCAGAAAACCCAGAAAAGGAACGAGGCACAGATCAGTCTTACAGACCCTTGAGTTTTCCTCAATTTCTCGGGCTGTGACCGCAACGGTCTCCACCAGTTCAGAAATGTCCACGTCGTCACTGGCCATCCCCACGTAAATACAGCTCTTCATGCTTTTGTACTCCGGGCCTGTGGGGAGAGACCACTGCCTGCCTTGGTTCCCGAGTCCTCGGTCAGAAGGCTGCCCGGGGCCGCTGTCCTGCACAACGGCGTGGCCGCACGAGGGCGCCTCCCGTATGGGGGAGGAGGAGGACGCTAATGAGGACAAGGGGTGCCCCAAGAGGCTGCAGAAGGAGAAAGGAGCTAGCTCACCCTAGAAAGAACTCAACTAGCATTTCCTCCAAGGAAAGAGACCCCACTGTCCTTGAAGCCAGTTAGAAAACGGCCTTTGGGAGCTCATAGTTGACATATAAAAATAGTAATTACCCATTTTAAATGTAAGGTCAGATTCCAGTTCATTTAGTTTTTTCAGGAGTCCAGCATGGATCTTTTCCCCTTCTGGATCTAGTTTCAAACTGCTCTTATCATCATTAGCATGTTCATACCTACAAACAATATCAAAAAACAGTACTTCAATCTAAATGATCAAATCCTCTTCAAACACTGCGATTTTCCAGGGTGACACAAATGGGCAAAGGAGGCACTTGGAGAGTCTCAAGGTCAGGCACTGTCAAGAACATCGCAAAGAAGGCCCAGGTCTCTAGTCTATGAAACTGAGGCAGGTCTGGGAGCCTTAGCACTTGTAATAGAAATATGGAGTCTCGGGGCGCATGGGGGCTCAGTTGGTTGAGCGTCCGACTCTTAATTTTGGCTCAGATCATGATCCCAGGGTCAGGGGACTGAGCCCTAAGTTGGGCTCTGCACTGAGCATTGAGCCCACTTAAGATTCTCTCTCTGCCCCTCTCTTGCTCATGCTAGCTTGCTTGTTCTCAAAAAAAAAAAAAAAAAAAAAAAAAAGGGCCTTGCCCCCCACCCCCACCCCGAAAGGAGGAGATGGAAAGCAGGCTGGGGGCGCACACTGCACTCCACACTTCTCGGTCTCAGGGAGCCATGACACTGTACGCCCCATGGTCACTGTCCGTCAGCTGTGCGCTTGTACGGTCTCCCTAGTAAGTTGCGAGCGGCACAGGCAGTACAGTTACAACTAGTTCACAGTGGCCACGCCGCCGCTGTGCTGGGCCTAAAATTCGTGCTGCATTTCCATGGGACACGGACCCTGTGGCCGCACATATTCACCGCCGGTTTCCAAGCTGGTCCACAAAAGGACCCACCTGAGGCACCCCCGCCAGGAGGCCGAGCCCGTACCTGACAACCCCTATTCCGGGCCAGTTAGGGTCATCGACATATAGGAGGCCAGCCGTCCCTGTCACCTCCTGCCTGAACTCCTCTCGCAGCTGCAGCGTGCAGGTCAGGACCGGCAGCTTGCTCTGGACACAGGCGACGAGCTGATCCACGTCCTCTCCCCGAGTTCCTAAAACTGCAAACATCCCAGGCATTAGGTAAGTGAGGAAGGAAGGGCCCTGCGTCCGCCGTCACGAGGTCAGCAGCTCCAGGGCCTCCAGGGAGCTGGAACAGAGACATAGAAGCCACGAGGCCCACAGGAAACGGGTGTGTGTGTGTGTGTGGGCGGAGACATAGAAGCCACAAGGCCCACAGGAAACGGGTGTGTGTGTGTGTGTGTTTGTGTGTGTTTGTGTCCCCGACTGCCGGAGGCAGGCCGTCCCGGCCTCCGGCAGGCCGTCCCGGCCTCCGGCAGGCCGTCCCGGCGTGCACACAGTGTATCTTATACAGAAGACAGGGAGACATAGAAGCCACGAGGCCCGCAGGAAACGTGTGTGTGTGTGTGTGTGTGTGTGTGTGTGTGTGTGTGTGTGTGTGTGTGTGTGTGTCTGTCTGTCTGTCTGTCTGTCTGTCTCCCCGACTGCCGGAGGCAGGCCGTCCTGGTGCACACACAGTTGTGTCTCATACAGAAGACGGGACCAGCCTTCCGTGTGACACACAAGCTCTCAGAGTCTCTCCCCAGGACTCTGCTGGAATCAACTGTAAGTTGATTAACCTCCCATCTCGGGCCACAAAGAGGCAAGCCCGCGGTCCTCGCTCCACATTAGCATCATGGGGGAGAGAGATTCTAGAGGGCGCGTGGGGGAGGGGGGCAGGAGGGCGGGGTGATGACAGCAGCACCAATGACAGCTGGGAGCCCCCGGGGCTGCAGGGACCCCACCTCACTGCCCCTCGCCTGTGACTCAAACGTGGCAAGTGACTGCGTAAGCGTCAGTACATGACGCCTCGGGTGTCCCCAGCTCTCTCAGCCAGGTTCCACAGAAAAGCCTCTCTGGGCAGCAGGTGCTGAAATCACGAGAAGATCTGTACACCACGGGCCATCTTCATGAGGGGCTCTTCTTGGCAGGACACTTGCCCACATTTCCCTACATTGAGGTCTTTGAGAAAATACCTTTCCAAAAATGTTGAAAACATCCCATGAAAAACCATCAAACATTTTTTGAAAATCTTCATATCATCTCGGAAAAAAAGCATCGTCAGATTTTTCACCTATCTGTCGGGAGCTCATCTGTGGGACGTACTCCCCGTCGGGAGCTGATCTGTGGGACGTACTCCCCATTGGGGGCTGATCTGTGGGACCCACTCCACTACAGCAAACTCCAGTCCCCTGAAGACATGTCCCACAGCTACGGGCACCAAGCCTGGAGGGGACGCTTGCTCAAGCTCCCCCACGCACAAAGAGGCCGAGGCGGGTGTGCGCCCATGACTTTCTGTTGCACGAGTCCACACTGCCCTCCAAAACGTCTAAATGTGGTGGCCCTCAAGCTTCACTGGTCTGTTCTAAACACCAGGGAGCTTTCAAAACTACACGCGCAGGCTCCACGCCCTGTGGGCCAGAAGCCCCAGGTGGGGCCCAGCGCCGGCAGCAGGCAAATCTCCTTCAGGGGTGGTAGGGGAGACAGGGGGTTCTGGTGTGTGGCGTGGCCGGAGGACCACGGTAGGCAAGACCGAGGGCCGCAGGACACGGAAACACAGGAACTCCAGTGACTCGAAAGTCTGCTTCTGAGAAGTTCCGCTCAAAAGCTCACCTACCCAAAAAATAAAAAATTTAAAAAAAAAAAAAAAAAGCTCACCTACCCAAATTGAGCCCAAAGGCAAAGAAGCAGCCACTTCAAAGAAAGAGAAAAGAGGGGGCGCCTGGGTGGCTCAGTTGGTTAAGCGTCCGACTTCACCTCAGGTCATGATCTTGTGGTTCGTGGGTTCAAGCCCCACATCAGGCTCTGTGCTGCCAGCTCAGAGCCTGGAGCCTGTTTCAGACTCTGTATCTCCCTCTCTCTCTGACCCTCCCCTGCTCACGCTGTCCCCGCCCCCCCAGAAATAAATTAAAAAACATTAAAAAAAAAAAAGAGAGAAAAGAGGACCCAAAGGAAAGGAAACCAGGCCACAGCGCGGACCCTAATGGACATGCCACCGTTGCTCCCAGAACAAGCGAGGACAGCCCGCGGAGAGCGGCTGCTTACCTGCCGCCGTCATCAGGGGGCTGAAGCGAATGCACACGCCCTCCACTTCCAGGTCCATGACGGTGAGGCCGCCCGCAGGCACCAGCTGCTTCAGCTGCTCTCCCAGCTGTGGGGACACGGGCAGGGTGAAGGGGGCCCGCGCCAAGGGGCCCGGCTCCCCGCACCTGCCCTCAGCCCCGGACCCGAGAGACTCCCGGGGGCGAGGTTCCCTGAATGTTCTCATTGTCTTACTCAGGGCAACTTCTTTTTTGAATAGACTAAGTTTTATGCTTTTTATTACTAAAAAATCCAAGTTCATCATAGGAAAATCTAGGAGATACAGATAAACCCAAAGAACAAATACAAATGACCCACAACACGCCAGGCAGAAATCCCCGCTGTGAACACGTGATCGACCCACGCGGTCTGTCTCTACTCCCCATCGCCACCAACATGCTGCTCGACATGCCGGGTGGTAACCTGTACTGTCTCCGTCCTTTGTGATGACCGTTTCCCTTCTGCCCTAAACATCCAGCTGCGTGGGTTATTCCGGCTGTTCTGAGAGCACTACACGGATGTGTCCTGACTTCCCCCCGGAAGCCCGAGGCGGGCAGGAGCCCCATCGTGCTGGGACTGACACGGCTGTGGCAGACGCCCTGACGCGAGGCCCCAGAGGCACACACGCGGTGTCCCGAGGCCGCCGCCTGCGGTCCACGCTGTCAGGCGCCCAGCCTCAGGGGGCTCCGGCCTCCGCACCTCCTGCTGTCGCTCCGGACGCCCACCACAGCCGCCGTCCCCGACTTGCGGGTAGTTTTGTGGCCTCGCGCAGCAGAAAGGAAATGGCCACTGAGGGAATGACTCCGGAAGGCCCTGCCGGAGGTCATGCGGCAGGCTGGGCAGCGAGGTGACCAGGAGCCCTGGCAGGAGCCCAGCGCCCGCGCAGAGCCTCCTTCCTACAGGCCGAACTTTCCAGAGGCCTCCGCGCCATCCACGTGGGAAGCAGGAGAGAGAGCACGCGGCCGCGTTCTTACCCAGCGGTTCAGGGCGTCACAGGAGTGTCTCTCCCGGCCGAGCGCTGAAGGTGCCGAGTTGGGCACTGGGACAGCTGTGGGCACTGGATCTGACACCGAAACACAGAAAGGGGGTTCAGCTCCCAGAAGCGCAGCCCCACACACACTCCTCAAAGCCCATTTCACGCAGCTCCCAGCACTACCCAGAGAGAACAGCCTCCAGCACCACAGGAAGTGGCGACGTCACGCGAACGGAGAGAAGAAATGTGGCACGTACACACCGCGGGCAGCGCTGTCCAGCCGTAGCAAGGGAGGAAACTGTCCCGCGCTCCGCACGGATGAAACCTGAGGATGTTACACTATGTGAAAGAAGCCAGCGACACGAAGACTCAGAGTGTGGGATTCCACTTCTCTGGGGAACCTAAAGTGGTCAAACTCAGAGACACAGAGTGGATGGGGCTACTGGGGGCTGGAAGGGAGGGAGGGAAACGGCGAGTCCATGTTTAAGGAACGTGGAGTTTGAGGTTTGCAAGCAGTACAAGTTCTGGAGGGTGCGAATCCGTGCAGTGCTACCTAACTGTACGCATTACATGCTACACCTTACTTTTTCACCTCAAGTAAACATTTGTGCATGTTTATCTTACAGAAGGTTTTTAAAAAATTAGTTTTGAGAGAGAGAGAGAGAGCATGTGTGAGCGTGAGCATGAGCGGGAGAGGGGCAGAAAGAGAGGGAGACACAGAATCTGAAGCAGGCCCGAGGTTCTGAGCCATCAGCACAGAGCCCGACATCGGCCTAGAACTCATGAGCCACGAGATCATGACCTGAGCTGAAGTTGGACACTTAACCGACTGAGCCACCCAGGCGCCCCCACAGAAGGGGTTTTAAGTTTCCATATTATTTTTCTCATGAAAATGTAACAAATGAAAATTGTCTCACAAATAGAAATCTTAATCTCATTTCAAGTTTTTCTTTCAAGGAACTTTGAGAGGAAATCAAGATGTAACACTGTAAGTTACCAGCTAGTCTATCAACCCCTGTGTGAGGGAAGTCAGAGCACCCCAAACGGTCCTCACACCAAACTTTTCCTCCTTCCAAATGGCCAGGGCACCAGCTCTGCCATGTGCTGTGCTGGGCACGCAGGATATAAAGAAGGAATGGGTTCTGTCATCTTGCTGTATATGTTCTACAGAAGAAACACCATAAAGAAAGAATTGAAATCCCCATATAGCGTTATCGGTGCCATGAAAGAAGGGGGGGATCCCCGATATAATACGACAGAGTCGCCTCAGCATGGACAAGGAAGGCCTAAGGAGGTGCACCTTAGGGAGACTAGAAAGATGACAGGGAGCCAGCCAGAAGAGTGAAGGGAAGTGTGCTCAAGGTAAAGGGAACATCAAGTGCAAAGATCTTGCTCTAAGAACGAGCAGAATGTTCATACAAACTCAGAGAAGACCAGTTTAAGGCGCAATGATCAAGAGGAGAGGTGGCCTCAAAGGAAGTCAGAGAAGACGGCCAGGGCTGGAGGCCAGAGGCCTCCCAAGGCCTGCTGCACACCCTGGACCTTATTCACCAGAAACAGGAAGAAACTGAGGGTCTGGGCAGTGAAGGGGTGTGACTGAACTCCCACATGTACCGCCCAGTCTGACCGCATGCAGAGAATGGTCTGGAATAGGGTGTGGACAGGACATGGAAGTGAGAGAGCAGTTCAGCAGGGACTGTGGCTGTCCAAGTGAGCAGCAGTGGCGCCCTGGCCTAGGCTGGTGGCATCAGGTATAGATTCCTGGATCCAACCTCATGAATCAAAGTATCTAGGAAGTAGGGCGCCCAAATCTCTATTTTCTTTTCTTTCTTTTTTATGCTTAACATAGTTTACATTTTAAATAACTGAAAATAGAGTGTAAACTTACATTAAAGACACTGTGGGGCAAGTGAACCTGGAAAGAACATGTGGTTATTTACGTGCGCATGCACGCGTGCATTCTGATCTTTATTCGCTCGTTCTAGCACTGGGTCCAGGGACTGGCACTTGGAAACCACTGGTGTGATCACAGGAAACTATCACTAAAATACTAATAAGGCACTTAGGACTGGAATTCTTGTGAAAATGATTAACATTTTCTGAAAAAATGATGACTGCAGATTTAAGCAGTCAAAATATTTTGGACTATCAATGTAACTTGAAATGGTTTAAAATTAAAAGCCCTGAAACACAAATACGAAAATTAGGCTTTTTAAAATCACCTACCCGAGCCTGGTAATTCCTGGAAAAATCTGAACACCACTACTGGAGAACTGAGCTCATCTTCCACCTGAAAAACACAATCTCGTATTACCAAGTAACATGAAATCCAACACCTGCAAAATAAAAGACTACAGATAACATATCAATAAACACATGAAATTCAAAGGTTAATTTCAGTTACTAGAGAAACAAAAATCAAGGGTTTAGAAAAATTCCTAGAAATAATTATATGTCGGTTCTGAGAACACACTGCTGCATTACGACATGTAACAAGGGTATACTGAAATTAAAGCAGGAGAAAACTGTAATAATAATAATAAACACAGGCCTGTCATGAAAGTGCTAAGAAAAGGAAAAAGTAGAACCAGAATCAGTGTTAGGAGAGCTGAAGGCTTCAAGAATCTAGAAATTATGTTAACTCAAGCAGGACGGAGACTTAAAAAAAAAATTTTTTTTTAATGCTTATTTATTTTTCAGACAGAGAGAGACAGAGTGTGAGCAGGGCAGGGGCGGAGAGAGAGGGAAACAGAGACTCCAAATCAGACTCCAGCCTCTGAGCTGTGAGCACAGAGCTCGATGCGGGGCTCAAACTCACAAACCATGAGATCATGACCTGAGCCAAAGGCGGACACTTAACTGACTGAGCCACCGAGGCACCCCTGAAACTTTTTATATAGTCACAAACAAAAAGAGGAAAACTACTTTCTTCTCACCTTGCAAAACTCTGAGAACAGGATTTAAGTCCTACTGGTAATGAAGATAAGCAGTCTAGAGCTGCGTCTACGTACTTCCGAATTCACTAAAGTGGTACTTCTATTCAGGACAGGCGTCCTTCAATAACAGTAACTTCGTTAATGACTAACTTCATCAGATTTCATTATAGACAAGATGTTCACTGCCCCTTAAGATAAGGCAGCACCAAGCTCATGTTCGCCATTGAACAAAAGTAGAGCTGGCCATCAGCTCCACCACGGGGTCAGGATACAAAGGGAACAGCAATGCTCCTGACAGAATTTGGCACACAGATGTCTATGTGTGCAACAATTCTAGGTACGAGACCAATTTCCAAGGCCCTGCGTGTGATGTCTCCAGGGCGGGAAGGCTAACTTGCAAAGCCAGTAAGTAGCTGGCCCAAGGTCTTCTCTACTAAACACTCAGTGGAACACAGAGGCGTGATTTAGAGCAAACAAGATGTGTATCAAATTTGCCAACTTATTAGGCTGATTGCTATGTTACCTATCATCTCCTTTAACTTTCACATAAGCATAAGTCTAATAATACTTTCTATTAGTACTTTTAGCACAGAAGGGCTTAATATCTAAATAGAATGGAGTAAACTCAAGAAGGAAATAGAAACAAAAGCAACAAAATTCCATACCCATTCCCCTAACCTCAGTCAGGATGAGGCAGGATGATTTGAGTAACCAGATTTCTATATATAGTCTAATACAGTCTTTGGTTTCTTATTTCTTTGAGCTCGGTGGTCTCAAATGTCAGTGCCTGAGAAATACTGTGCAGGATTGTAAGTGCAGAATTCTGGTTCTAGCAACATGGCAGAGTGAAATGCTGGATTAAATATACCAATAACCAAAAAAACAAAACAAAGAACAAAAAAACCCAACTTAACCACTGACAGGCTTACAAAAACGGTGAAGACACGGCTCTTCAGGCCCGTGCGTGCAGAGTGGTGAGCGCACGTAACGCCAGGACCCCTAAAGGATCCTCCTTATGAGAAGAGGGCGAGAAAAAACCCACCCGCTGACCAGCGAGAGGGCTTCCTGCTGCCTGAGGCTCTGTCTACACGAGGAGGAAAAGTCACAAAGGCAAAACATCAGGTGTGCACCGCACTGGGCTGTCCGTCCCATGCGGTGCGGGAGTCCCGAAGCTGTGGAGCTGACAGACAGATGGACCTCGGCCCGCCACACAGGTAGCTCACAATGGAAAAGTGAACCCCACACACAGCAGCAGACACAATCCAGGGGATGACCTCTGCTCCCAGAACAGAATCTCTAGAGCAACAGTGGGAAACATACTCTAAAACCAGGCCTGAAGAGAGAAATGAAGACCAGGAAGCATAAAAAAAAAGATAAAAGAAAAAGAAAAAAGGATGACCAAAAGGGGAGGATTTGAACAGAGCTCAAGAGAACATGCTGGAAGTTCTGGGGGCAGGTGTCGCTGAAAGTAAAAACACAGTCGCTGCAGAGTAGAGGCAGCTCAGGTGCAGGGACAGGAGGCAGAGGCAGGAAGGACGAGAGGGGCTGATGGGAGATGGACCCGCGACAACTGGGCAGGGAGACCGGAGAAGGAGAGGTCGTGGCTGAAAACGCAAACTGTACAGAATTGATTAAAAAAAAAAAAAAAAAAGACTCCTCAGGTTAAACGAGCACAAGTCCCAAGCAGGATCTGTACAGTCCTCACTCGGACATACCACGGCCACGGTCAAAGGTGTCCAAGCCGGACAGCCTAAAGGCCAGCGGAGATGTGAGGTGCCTGTCACACGGGGGCGCTGGAGAGGTGCAGGTGTGAGGGTGAAAGACTAGATCTGCCCCTTCACTGCAGAGCGTGGGACGCGGCCCATGTGCGGCTGAGCCAGCCTGACAGCAGAGAAGACCTGCACGACTAATGGATGCAGCGACTCCCACGGCCCCCCTGCGCCCTGGTGGCGGCCCCGGGGGCTGGGGAGCTGGGGAGGCGGTCCGCGCCTCGGGCCTGAGGAGCTCTGCAGGGGCGGGCCACCTACGTAGGCGAGCAGGTGCCGCGGGGGGCACTTGCAGAAGGAGCCGCTGGGCACAGACGCGGCTCATCTTAGACATCCTGGGTTCAGGTCCTGGCTCTGCCACGTACCATCACAGGCTCAAGACGCACAACCACATGGCACAACAGATGCAAATGACACCGCTCTACCACAGTGACACCTCGTGAGCACGCAAGGACCCGGTATCTCTCTAAGCGCTACACAAATACTGTGGCGAGAGCAAAAGGGCATTTACTACTGACCTATATTTTACAGGGCCTTACAGTCTTCACTTTGCTTTCTCATTATCTGACAGGCCCTTTAAACGAGCCACCGCAGCAGGACAAGTACTACCTTCTCCTGCAAATTGACCAGAGACGGAACGGTCCGCTGCTTAGGAGCACAATATTGGAGTGTGAATCCCAGCTTCACTGCAGCCTAGCTGTGTGGCATGAGCAAGTTGCTTAACTTCTCTGTGCCGGTTTCTCTGTGCCCAGAAAAGATGGGGCAGCCACTGCAACCAACTCTCAGATGAGACTGACTCACGCCTCAGTACTTATGCCAAATACTCGGCACAGTACAAAACACCACGAAACAAAAACCACCAACCAAATAAGACACAAGTCCTTGCCTTCCCAAAGCTTCTACAAAGAAAAACAGACAATGAACAAATATATGACTTCAAGTAGGAGTAACTGCCACAAACACCAAAACCCAGGGGACACAGTGACAGACGATGGTAAGGGCTGCTTTAGGTGGGAGAGCCAGGGAAAGTCTCTCTGAAGAGGGGGTACTTGAACGAAGCTCTGAAGGGTAAGAAAGCAGTCATGAAAGAATCAAAGGGAACAGTGTTTCCAGGTAGAAGGAAGAGCAAATACGAAGGCAAATGCTGTTGAGGGCTAAATGAAGGAATGTGTGCGCTCGGCGCCACGCATGGTACACAGTGCACATTTCACTAAGAGCTGCGGCGATGACAGTTATTACTGAGGCCACAGTGCCTCGTGGTGTTTGCCGACTGTTGTGCATCTACGGAGAAAAGCATGCACCGGAGGGAGGGGTGCAGCAGGGCTCAGGCCGGGACCACACGCGGCCTTACACAGATGCTCCAAACCCACGGGTGATGAATGAGCCCCAGCCGAACCTCCCTGCCTGGAGAAGGACGGAGGGGCAGAGGCGACATGAGGAGGAGCCTGAGTGGGCTCAGTGAGGGAGGGACAGAAAGTCACAGGCCCAGCACCGCCTGGATTCCAGCCATCTTGCTCGTGCTAGTCCATAGTTTGGGCTTCTCTGTTTAAATCAAAGGAGTCCAACCAACACGGCTTCACTGACAACTGAGCTCACAGGCTGAGGCAGCAAAGAGAATGACTCAGTGTCACAGGGCGTCAGTGGTACAGCTGAAATGAGAACCCAAGTCTCCTGACTTACATTCGTCCCTCTGCTTCTCCAATGGACCACTCTCCTCTTCTAAGCTAGGGCTTGGGTCATCTCAGGTCAACTGAAAAGGCTCTAAGCTCCTACTCAGAAGGCAACACAAAGCAGTGCCCCCCTCAGGCACTTGAAGCAAACCATGCACGAAAATGGAAATCAACTGTATTAACTTGAACCCCAGATAAACTTCAGTATTATTTTAAACGTAACTGCATCCTGCAGAATTGTCAAAGACACACCCAGCGGCCCTATTTAAATTAGAACCTGACCGGGGCGCCTGGGTGGCTTAGTCGGTTAAGCATCCGACTTTCGCTTGGGTCATGATCTCGCGGTTCGTGGGTTCGAGCCCCGCGTCGGGCTCTGTGCTGACTGCCAGCTCAGAGCCTGGAGCCTGTTTCAGTCTGTGACTCCCTCTCTCTCTGACCCTCCCCTGCTCATGCTGTCTCTCTCTCTCTCTCCTAGAAATAAATAAAACATAAAAAAAAATAAAAAAAATAAATTAGAACCTGACCTATACTTTCTGAAATTCTAAAATATAATAAAGCAATACATGAAAACATTCAAAGTTGAACTGACTCTTGGTTATTAGCCCTGCTATGTCCTCAGGCCCTGTCTACTAACTACCCTTAGGCAGCAGTCTCTGACAGATTCTGCCATGGTTGAGGAGGATATGGGGGGAAGACAAGAACAAGGCCCTATGCCCATCTCTTCCTTATTCCCCAATCTGTGCAAATGAAAACTCTGGTGTCAGAGGGTTTCAGAAAACCCTTAGCTGCCCTAAACACTGTGAGAGACCAAATACCTTTTCATTTCAGGAACACAAGTGTTCCAAAATTGTCGGGCAGGGGAAATCAACAGTGTTTATTAGATCTTCGTGCAATTCTAAATTTTAATAGAATAAAACTTCAGATGATGATATGAAAAGCACCCCAGGGGTTCAGCGTATGGAACCAATCTCTAGGCCTTGTGCTTTCTGCAGAGTTAGGTCACCAGCGCATGAATCTCTTCCACAGAATGTGGCCTCACTGGAGCTGCCACAATTCCCCCGAAATGCATCAAATCTGGAGAAGATCATTCCAAGTTACTGACGTTAAGTTATTAACTTCAAAAACAGATCCAATTATATACTGTACCAGGATTTTGATGTGGTTCACTTTCTTCAAACTTTCTTGTAATCGTTGACTCTGCAAAAAGACAAAAAAATAGCTTCTAGTTTTTATAAATTTACTAGATTATATGTGTGCTTATTTAAAAATTACTTATATTTTAATGAGATTAATGATATCCATTAGACTGACACAACATATTGAAACAAACCCTCACAGTTCATGAGGGTCCTCACCAGCCTGCAGACAAAGATCCCAGGCAGATGAAGCCGTCGGGCACCTGATGGTTCCCGAGGTAGGGTGCCAATTCTTGCTTTTCAAGAACTGCAAATATTCCCTATCTTGCAGCTGAAAGTTACATTTAGTGCTCCAAAAAAGCACTAAATGAGACCCATGTGAACTTGTCATATTAGCAACATAAGTCATTCACTCATTCAACAACTACTGAGTGGGAACAAAAGCAAAAAAAAGAAGTCAGTGGCACCCCATCAAACTTTTTGAAAAGGTTCTGCAGAGTGAAGGAAACCATCAACAAAATGAAAAGGCAGCCTACTAAATGGGAGAACATAATTGCAGACAATTTATCTGATAAGGGGATTAATACCCAAAATATATACAACTCAAGCAAAAAAAAAACAAAACCCAAATCCGATTTTTAAAACGGGCAGAAGATATGAATAGACGTTTCTCCAAAGAAGACGTCCAGATGGCCAACAGGTACATGAAAAGATGCTCAACGTCACTCATCATCAGGGAAACGCAAATCACACCCACAATGAGACAGCACCTCATACCTGTGAGAATGGTTGAAGAGAAGTAACAAATGTTGGTGAGGATGTGAAGAAAAGGGAACCCTTGTACACTGTTGGTGGGAATGTAAACTGGTGCAGCCACTATGGAAAACCAGTATGGAGGCTACCCCAAAAATTAAAAATAGAACTACCCTATGATTCAGCAACTCTATTTCTAGGTATTTATCCAAAGAAAGCAAAAACACCAATGTGAAAAGGTATCTGTACCCTCATGATCATCGCATTTTTTATAAGTGCCAAGATACAGAAACAACTTGAGTGTCCTTCAATGGATGAATGAATAAAAGAAAATATATGATATATACATACACAATGAAATATTATTCACCGTAAAAAAGGAATAAAATCTTGCCATCTGTGACAATGGTGTGATTTCACTTACGTGTGGGATCTAAACCAAACCAAACCAAACCAAACCAAACCAAACCACAAGCTCACAAATACAGAGAACAGATTGGTGGCTGCCAGAGGCAGGGGCTGGGAGGCAGGAGAAATGGGTAAAGGTAGTTTAAAAAAAATTTTTTTTCTGAGAGAGAGAGGAGAGAGAGAGAGAGATAGAGTGCAAGTTTGGTAGGGGCAGAGAGAGAGACACACAGAATTCAAAGCAGGCTGCAGGCTCTGAGCTGTCAGCACAGAGCCCAATGCAGGGCTCGAACCCATGAACTGTGAGATCATGACCTGAGCCAAAGTCGGATGCTCAACCAACTGAGTCACCTAGGTGCCCCAAGGTGGTTTAAAGATACAAATTTCTAGGGGGCACCTGGCTGCCTCAGTTGGTAGAGCATGCAACTCAATCTCAGGGTTGTGAGTTCAAGCCCCACACTGGGTGTAGAGCCTACTTAAAACAAAAAAAAAATCTGTAATGATGTATGGTGATGTGTATTAACTGGACTTGGAATTGTGATCATTTTCCAGTATACACAAATACTTAATCATTATGCTATACACCTGAAACTAACATTAATTATAGCTCAAAAAAACCCCCACCGAAACTACTGAGCGCACATGTGTACAAGGCACAGTACCTGATTCTGGAGAAGGAAAAGAAAAGGTAAGTGAGAGAGCACAGCATTGTTATGATGAGCACGAGTCTGGAATAACCAAACCGGAGTTCAATATCCCACATGTAGGACAATGAATAAGTTCATTTGCCACTTACTAGCTGTGACCTTGGACAAGTTATTTAGCCTCTCTGGGCTTCTGGGCTTCAAGTCCCTCAGTTAAAAAACAGGAGGGCAGCAGTAATCTGACAGGGTGGTTATGTCAAGTGCCCGGGAGCAGTTTCTGGAGTGCAGCATGCGCGTGAGGACTTCCGTCCTCATTGTTCTAGAAGTGTCCCAGTCCCAGACCTCTCATCACTGCTGTGGGGATAAAAAAGCATGTGCCTCAGGGGGTCGGGGCTCATCCCTCCAACATTCACTAAGTGTGGGATGCTAGAAGAGCCCTCATGAAAACTACTTGTCGCTGTGTTATCAGCAGACATTCCACCCTGGCCAAGTTCAGACGAGACAGTGCATGCGCAGGCACTGCGGTGCCCGCACAGAGAAAACACGTCCTGACCGCCACCCGGGAGGGTGAAGAGGATGCTGATGAAGGGAGGAAGCAGAGGAGGAGGAGGCCCCTGATTTCTGTCCCCAGGAAGCCCAGCTCCTGGTGACAGACGAGCAGTTTCCCGCGCTCATAGCACTGGAGGGTCAGCGACAGGGTGTCACTGAAGTCGTCGGCAGGGGCGCGATCGGTCCCCGTGTGCCTGCAGGCAGGCAGAGCTGTGGCGGCCTCAAGGGTTCACCAGTGAATGTCTCATTATTTCCCTGTCTGCCGTAGGCCAAGGGGAATTGAAGGGCTCTCCCCTGAGCGCCCAAACCTTACCCAAACTGCCTCAGTTACCAGGGCAATAGAGGCCTCTCCTTCCCAAGAACTAAACCTACCTCAGCAGGGGAGCTGGCAGCCCAGTGAGGAGACTTCAAATATGTGCTTTTGTAAACATAATGACCTAGACCTCAACATCACCTCATGTAAAAATGAAACTACTTCCTTCAGAATGTATTGCATCAGAAACTCGCGTTGGGATGAACTATCCTGACATTATGAACCAAAGACAGCTGCCACCACGAACTTTCCCTCACTATAAAAATGACGTGTGAGGAAGTACAGATTCCACAGAACACATTTCAGACCAAGGTTTATTCTTAAATCCAACTGCCTGTGACTAGGCACCACTGTAAGAGCATGGCATGTACGAGCTCTGAAGGCCTCCTGACCATCCTCTCACATCTCTCTGTCTCACAGGTAAGCAAACAGACTTATAGAGAGGGGACGCCATGCTTTCAGACTCAGGGAGGACTCAGCTCGCAAACTGCATAAACAGGACTTTTTTTTGCTTCCTAAAGTCTAGCGTAATTATACACTTTCACAATTAGAACACGTCATGCAGGAGAGTTAGAACCGTCCCTAGAACCTTGCCATTTGGGAGCCCAAACCACCTGGTATTAAGAATATGCAGGCAATCCGTCATCACCCCTAAGGCCGCCACATTTCCTTGCCCCTCAGGAGAGAGCCAGCCGGGCGCCACCTCCCCCACCCCACTTTTGCTCTGTCTCTGCTACTTGGCTCTCAACCTGTGACTTCTTTCCTCATCCTGCACCGACACGAGCATTCATCTAATCTTATTTCATCCAGCCACAAACGAAGGGACAGCCCAGCAGTCCCCCCCAGAACTTCCAACCAGGAATGTGCACTTCAGGTCTGCTTGCTCAGGAGATGCGAAATCCAAACAACATGGCATTAGATGATGGGTAAGGCAATGAGGCAGTTTTCTGTCACTGCCTTCGCCATGGAGCGTTTGTGACTCATTTCAACTGTGGGTTTCTACTCACCAGTTGGCAGGCATGCTTAATCCTCTCCACAATCCCATCAAGCCCCAGGTACTGCAGAGACAACCACAGCGGCAGGGCACGGAGCTTGTCTGCTGGCTTGTTTGATGTAAGACCGGCAACTAAAGTCTAAAAAAGCCAACGTGGGTTTATTAATCAAAGCCAATGAAGTCACACAGCAGAGTGAACGGGTCAGCATATTCCCGTGCACGTTGTATGTGTCCGATGCGATGCCGGGCGCTTGGCTTGCACCATGCATCTGCTCATCTAACAGCCCTGGGGTGGGGGTGGGGGGGAGTGTTCTGGGCAGCCTAGCACAGAGACCTGGCTTTCAAGGTTCATGACTAAGGTGTGGTCAAGCCAGGAGGAGAATCCAGACGGGCCAGAGCTCTCAGGCACCCAAGAGGTAGCCCCTTCCACACCTGTGTCTGAGTGTCCTCAAACACCTGGCCATTGTCAACTGAGCAAGACATTAACTCACTAAACTGATCCACTATCAAAAAGCACTTAAAAAATATTAAAACCTAGACAATTCAAAGGCTTTAACTACTCTCAATAGTGATGGCACTTCAGGGGAACCTAAAGTAAGGAAGTAACTTGAAATACAGAATGATGCTCCCTGTGTTAACAACAAAGTTTGGAAATGAAGGAAGATTAAACTGCAGTATTTAAGCGACAGAATATCATACAGTCATAAAAGGTCATAAAAAGTTCTTTGTACACATGAGGCCTATGGGGAGAAAAGAAAAAATACATTCAGTAGAGTTCCACTTATGTTAAAAACATGATTTTTTTTTTTTTATAAAAAGGTCACAGAAGTAGCATGAAGGAAATGTTTACTTTGTCCATATTTTGCTCCCAGGCTCCATGGTGATTATTAGCCTCTCCCCACTCCCTCCCGGGGACAGTGAGCGTACCAAGGCAGGATCGTCATGTTTATAGAGGGTGACTGCAGGGACAGCCGGCAAACCCAGCCACGGGCCCGGAGTCAACGTCATGCTGTCACACTTGGTTGCAGCCTACCAAAGAAGACAAGGTTTGTTAGACCCTATCACAGTACACCAAGCCCAGCACCCTCCTCCCTTCATAACAACTGTGAGAAGCCATCAGGGATTAGGTGATTATAATTCCTTCTTAAAAAGACAGTAAATTATAACATACCAGCACTGATGAGGAGACATAACCTAGGGCCAAAGTTGCTAGATTCACACTGGAATAAAAACAAACAAACACTATTTACTGCTACTTATTCCCTAAGCACACTTAAAAAAAAAAAAAAAAAAAAAAAAAAAAAAAAAGATGCTGTTCCAAGCTGACGTTTTAATGTCCTTCAACTGGTTATTAGATTTTATAACAACAATAGAAAATGGGATGTGGATGTGTACAAATTTCGGCAAAACCTTGAAAATGCACTTTGTGCCTTATGTCTTATTTTGTATCTTTAATAGCTATTATTTTGCCATCATCGTTCTTTTCCGGAGGGATTCAGCAAAAGCCTAGCTCGCAGGGCCTGCCAGGAATGGACTGCTGTGGCTGCCCCGTCCCCTCCCCTAAGTCCCTCTGAGAAACCACCAGTCTCCTCTATCAGATCACAGCTTCGGGGACAAGACGTCACCAGATGCTCCCAACGACCCGAACTGTAGGACTGTTACAGTTCCCTGGCCACCACGACTGGCTCAGCAGGAGGCATCTGTTGGGACTTCTTACCCTCGGAACACAAACTGGAGCCACTGCAACTAATTTGTACCAAAACAGTAAAGTCTATCCATAGATGGAGGCAACACAGAGGAAATTCGGCCAACTGACTGGGGGAGGGGGGAAGATGCTGAGTCCAGCGCCATCTTTGTAGTTATGTGAGCCAATAAAATCTCTTCTCGCTAACAGCACTTTGCGTTGTTTTGTTATGTTTCCTATGCAACCCAAAGAGCCCTCAGTGATAAGCGTACCAACAGAATAAGGGCCTGGACATCCACTCCCCACGAGCACTGCGTGCAGGCCCAACGTGGGGCCACCCTCGCTCTGCACTCACCCCTCCACGTGTAGCCATATGCCGTACTGCTCACAGAGTTCTTTCAAACGTGCAATCTTATCTGTGTGCCCGACTGCTGCCGTTCCTAGGGTAAAACACACAGAACGATACGAAAAGGAACACATACTTTGAGTCTTTACAGCAGGATAAAAGCTCTTAAATACATTATCTAAGAAGGAAGTAATATTATATGTTTTCTTGAGATTTTCTATGTGAAGTGGCTTAAAACCAACTTTTATAAGTTGATTATTCAAGGTCTGACGCATGCATATTCTCCACTTTTTGGATCTGTAAAACAAGCTTGTTAATTTTGTTGCTTAAACCTCTATATACTTGTTTTCCATCTACTTAATGTTGCTTCAGGAGAAACATATTAAGGGCTCTCACCAAGACTGGGTTTGTCAACTTATACTTGCAGCCTTCCCTTTATAGATTTCAGATATGTTCATAAGCTAAGTTCTTAACTACTGTGCCTTAGCGATTACACGGATTTTCATCAGCATGGAGTCTACCTTACATGAAGACCACTACAGTACTTTCGTTCTGTCACCATTTGCCCAAGATACCCTTTTCCATGCTTGCCTTTTGTCACTTTCTGGGTTATTTTTTTTAACTGATCACCATTTAAAAAGAAATTTTTTTTAACTGATCACCATTTAAAAAGAAATTTTTTTTTTTTTTTTTTGAGAGAAAGTGAGAGAGCTGGGGAGAGGCAGACAGAGGGAGATAGGATTCCAGGCAGGCTCCTTGCTGACAGCAGAGAGACTGATGTGGGGCTCAAACTTACGAACCATGAGATCATGACCTGAGCGTAAGTCGACGCTTAATCAACTGAGTGACCCAGGTGCCCCTGGGTTAATTTAGGTGTGCCCATTATACATACAGATAAATGTGTGGGCTTTTTTAAAACCCAGTATGAGAGGTCCTTTGTTTTAAAACAGAGTATGCATCCTGAAGTTAAACATAGTGAATGCTTTACCCCATCCCCTTGTTAAATTTGTATATACTACAGGTTGGGTAGGCAGCTCCCTCTTCAGACAGCCCAAGTAAAATGTGCACTGGTGCATTCTTCTGACTGTTCTAAACCTCCAGTTAGCAGAGTCCCACCCAGTAAGACTGCAAATCCTGACCAAGTGCCTCAACAAACACAACCAATGTTAAGCGGTCCTTTTGCAGGGTTTAGGTCTATAAACCATTTATAACTGATTTTTGTATGGACAGTGAAGTAAAGGTTAAGGTTCAATTTTATTTTTTCCATATGGATATCCACTTGTTCCAAGACCATTGGTGGAAAAGACCCACCTTTTCTCCCTTGAAATACCTTGGTATCTCTGTAAAAAGCCAAGTGATTATATATATGTAAGTGTATTTCTTTCTTTTCTTTCTTTCTTCCTTTCACATTTATTTTTGAGAGCACGAGCAGAGGAGGGGCAGAGAGGAGACAGAGAATCTAAAGTAAGTTCCAGACTCTGAGCTGTCAGCACAGAACCTGATGTGGAGCTCAAACCCACGAACTATGACATGAGATCATGACCTGAGCTGAAGTCGGATGCCACATGACTGAGCCACCCAGAGGCCATGTGAGTCTATCTATTTCTAACTCTATTCTCTTCAATTAATCCCACACTCTCCTGATTATCTGTAGTAAGTGTAAAAATCAGAGAGCCTAAGTCTTTGAATTTTATTTTTATTTTATTTTTTCAAAATTATTTTGCCTATTCTTATATCCTCTGTATTTCCACATAAATTTTAGAATCTGCTTATCAACTTGTATAAGAAATAGTAGCCTGCTGAGATTTTGACGGGGATTAATCTACAGAATATATAGATTGGGGAAATTAGACTTTATGATACTGAGTCTTCCCACACATGCATATGGCATACCATTCCATTTATTCACGTTTTCTTGAATTTCTCTTAGCATCATTTTGTAGTTTTCAATGTACAGATCTTACATATACACTTTTTAAATGTTTATTTATTTTTGAGAGAGAGACACACACATACACAGAGTACAAGCAGGGGAGGGGCAGAGAGAAAGGGAGACACAGAATCTGAATCAGGTTCCAGGCTCTGAGCTGTCAGCACAGCTGGGGGGCTTGAACTCAAACCATGAAATCATGACCTGAGCCAAAATTGGGACACTTAACCTACCAAGCCACCCAGGTGCCCCTTGCATATACTTTTCCTTTTTTGATGTTATCACGACTGGCATTTTTAATTCAATTTCAGTGGAACACTGCTTATATACAGAAATCCTACAACCCAGATCAACTTATTAGTTCCAAAGGCTTTTCTTTAGTTTCCTTAGGACCTTCCATCTATATAATCATGCCGTCTGCAAGTAAAGACAGTTTATTCTTTCTAATGTGTGTTGTCACTCAATTATTTCTCTTGCCTCATGCACTGTCTCGAACTCCAAGTAGAATGCCGAATTCGGCAACAGGAAGTAGAGCAGAAAGTGGTAGATGAATTGCTGCATCCAAGGTGGACATTCAAGTGTGACATTTTAAAATTCCATTTAGAAAGGAAGCACACGAAAGGGAGGTACTTAGAGCCTAAATGAAAAAGCATACACACCAACAGAGTAACTCCCCAACAAACCAACAATTCAAGGGAATGTGAGGAGCTAAGCGTCGTGTTGTAACTTTCACCCCAACGCCGACATAAACTACCTGAAACACGAGGCATGCAGACATTTCTCAAGACGTAGGTGTTCTGTTTGGTTTTTTTTTTTTTTAGGCTAAGTCCCCCTCTTTCTCTTGTACGTCCAAACGGCAGATTCTGTTCACAATACCTACCGGCATTTGCTACAAGCAACAGGGGCAATTTTCCTCGTTCTAGATCATCTTTAATCAGTTTCTCCAGGAAGGCAACATCCTAGGTTAAAAGGCAAACCACAGGAACATGAAGCAATGAGCATAAAGCTATACAATAAGAAATTATAACTTTCAACAAAAGGAAGGGACTCTCAAAATTAACCACACACATCAATTCTTATTCTTGACCATTTTTCTATTTTCTCTAATCAGAGAGATGAAAATCAAATAGTTTCCCTTGAAGATTAACTACAAAAAAATAGTTAAATGAGATCAAAGTTAAAAACTACATATATACAGGATGAATGTTTCTCTAGTTTTAAACACTTAGGTTTAAAGAAAATGTTCTCAATTCCCCCTACATAGCCAAAACTCTCTCTCTGATATTACTGATGTATCTGAACCAGATAACCAGGTACCTTGGAAAAAGAAACACAAGACCCTAAAACCTACCCTTTTTGCTTCTGTCTTCAGTATGAGAAGGCTTAACACTTGAAAAGTCTAAAAATACGCAGAATCCAATTCTAATCCCACATTACAATAAAGAACCTCATTTTCAAAATCTGCCCATTCACACATCCAGGCCACAGTGATAACCTTTGAAAGGATGAGCTTTTGAAGAAATTTCTGGTGCTTATCTGGACTCCCATGTTCCTCTTTAAAGCAGGTGATACAGTAATGACAAGATTCCTGAAGAGGGAGGTGCTCCTGACCTATATGCCAGCCAACATTCATGGACATTCAAACCCGGAAGCGTGTATTAAGCAATGGGGAGATGTAAGCGGTAAATGAGTAAGCTAATAATTATCTGGAGGCCAGCAAACAGAACCTCAATCACAAGGAAGACACAGTTTCCAAACACAATTCTGTCTTATCTTACAAAGCGAAAGGAGAGCTCACCATCTGATGCTGGGATCCAAACATGGTGTTACAGGGCACGCGACACAAGCAGGGGAAGGGCAAGCCGAGCTGCCGGAGGAAACATACAATTCTGTAATCAAGATCTCTGTCACCATTCACGTACGTCCCCTACAGACTGTGGCTCTAAGACAAGTCACAGTGACTCTTTTTAAACAATCTCTCTCCTTAGGAACTCTTAATATGATAACTTCGTGTTAAAGTATATCTAGAAAGTCAAGCTAAAATTTCTAGGAGCTGGGATTCTTTTAAGAAGATACAATGCAAAACTCTCTTGACTCAGCTAAATGAGTAACTGCCTTTGCTATATTCTAGAATATACCAAAAAATGAAAAACCACTTTTCCAAACTAAGAAACAACCAAGCTTTGAGCATTTTAGGAGATAATTTAGGATCCTTCCTCCAAGCATTAGTGGTAAATAACACCCACTAAAGGCATTCAAAGAACAGTATCTTATTTATGGATCCACCCACTCCTAACAAGCAACAAATATGGATTAGCAGATGTACATTTCTTAAAAGAAATGAAGTCAGTGTTATGAATGGGGATAGTAACTGTCAAAAAACATTTTTTATCCTTGAGGATATATTTATAGTTTCAGGAATTTTTAAACAGTTGCAGCATATTGTTCTGTGTAACTAAGAATTGGTAGTACCACTTAGAGACCAAACATGTAACGAACACTTTATGCACACTTTCTCCCTCCTTAAAATTTTTTCTTTAAAATTATGAAAAGGAAACCCAAGTAAAACACACAATGAAAAATACAGAAATTAAAAGTGAAAATGCCCTCCCACCCCATAAGCCACCACTGTTAACAGTTTTGTATAAAACGTTCTAAACATTTTCTAAGTATTCAGATTTTTTTTTAGGTATGAAAAATATATATATATATTTTTTTTAAGTAGGCTCTATGCGGTGCCTGGGTGGCTCAGTCCGTTAAGCATCTGACTTCTTCTTAGGTCATGATCTCACGGTTTATGGGTTCTAGCCCTGTGTCAGGCCCCGTGCTGACAGCTCAGAACCTGGAGCCTGATTCTGTGTCTCCCTTTCTCTCTGCCCCTTCCCTATTCATGCTCTCTCTCTCAAAAACATATAAACATTTTAAAAAAATTTAAAAATGTAAGCTCTACGCCCAACATGGGACTTGAACTCACAACCTCAAGATCAAAAGTCAGTTGCATGTTCTTCTGCTTGAGCCAGCCGGGTGCACCCCCCCACAGCTTTCGAAGATGGGACTGCTATGCCAAGGCAGCTTTGGGTCCAAAAGAACCTGGCCTGTAGTGGGTACTCAGTAAGTACTTTGTTCCAGGTTTCTCTAAGGATGTTATAAATCTCATCCTGTACACACTCAAAAAGAGGACGTCATTTCCCGCTGCCAGTGACCACAGCTCACCACCAGCTGAAGTCCCTGAGTCTCCCTCATTTATCTCCACAGGACTCCTCCATCTTACAAAAGACAAACCCTCACGGGGCGCCTGGGTAGCTCACTTGGTTAAGCATCTGATTCTTGATTTCGGCTCAGGTCAGATCTTATGGTTTGGGGGTTTGAACCCCATGTTGGGCTCCACACTGACAGCACTGAGCCTTCTTTGAATTCTCTTTCCCCCACCCCGCGATGTTCTCCCCCTGCTTAGTGTCCTGTGCTCGCTCGCTCTCTCTCAAAGAACAAAAAACACAAACCCAAAAACAAAACTAAAATAAAACATTCTCAGCCAAGAGACTGAACATTTTTTTGTAGCCCCCTAATTGGGCTACGTGTGTCCCATGAGCTTCAAAAACGGTAATCCTCTTTGATCTAGTAATTCTAGATGGACTCTGAGAATCTATCTACAGAATATAATCTAGATAATACTTTCTAAATATAGAAATTTCTAAATGCAGAAAAAGCTATATGCACAAAGATGTCCTAACAACACTATGCAAAGGGCACTTCCTGAAAATGGTCATAAAAAACAAAAGAACGCAAATGCTTTAATTGTCCGAAAGGGAAACAGTTGGTTAAAACACTATACAGTGACTTGAGGAGTATTATGAAGATATTAAAAATAGACTGTACTTTGAAGAACTGTTAAAATAGGATATGCACCTGTTATAACACCAAGTGAATAAGTCAAACATAACCATGTAAAAACACATCTGCGCTCTTTGATTAAAGTCTGGGGGAAAAATGTTGACTGTGGTTGCCTCTGGGCAACTAAACAAGATATAGGTAGCTCTGAAAATTCACTAATATGCATTTATATATTTTCTTATAATGACAAAACAAGCACATTGTTTCTTTTCATTTGAAAAGAAGTGCAGTTAAAGAAATGGGCCTGTGCACTTTATAAAATTTCATAAATAGAACGGAACACAATTTCTTTAAAATGTCCACCTTATCCCACGTTACCTGATTACAAAGGTACTGGCCCAGGCCAGGCCTCGCAGCAGCACTAAGGTATATAACAGGTTTCTTGTTATACAGCACATTGAAGCCATCCACTACAAAGTCTTCATAACGAGAGTGCAGAGCAAGCCTACAGATCTTTGCCAGTCCTTCTCTTTCTTCTTCGTGGAAATAAGCACAGCCGTTTTCATACCTGTTAAGAGACAGTCATCTATCAGTATGTTCTTGTCTCTGGTTAACTCTGGTTTTACATCCTCATTTTACAGTTTTGGGAGTAATTCTTCTCTTAATCTAGGAACTGTCACCTAGAGCAGCAAAGGAGATAGGGATGCCCTAATCCTAGACGGCTGACCACACCTTACCGCTGGAGGTTATAAAGAACGGAGGCAATCGCCCTTTGTCCACACTCAACTCCGTAAGGAGCAGAAACTATGAAGAAAAAGCAGTAGAGAACAGGAGTCCCTTACGTACAGAAAAGGCTGGAGAGCACAGTGGCGGCTTGCTCGACAAGAAGGCCGACCCCGGATAACAACACAGGCAAGGTTCTTAGCAGCTTCAGCCCCAAGACATCCAAAGTAACCAAAAATGTGAAAACTGCTAGTCAGCCTATATTTGCTTTCACGATTGTCTGCCTGGGGGAAATTATTTTTCCTTAATCTTCTAGAAAAGTAAGAACAGAATTTCAGTTACAGGTGGTGGATTTTTATTAGAAGAAAATCTCTCCTTTGCGATGCAGTTAGGCAAACTTAACCTTTTGCTGGACCAAGCTTTTTCTCAACATCTGAAAGGGAGTCTCTCCAGTTAAGTCATCCAGTGTTAGGCAAACATTCCTTTTCCTTAAAAGTAACAGCACGGGGGACACCGAGGTGGCTCGGTCAGTCAAGTAGCTGACTTCGGCTCAGGTCATGGTTTCTGAAGGCTCGTGAGTTCGAGCCCCACTTCGGATCCTCTGTCTCCCTCTTTCTGTCCCTTCCCCCTCCCCCTCCCCTCCAAAATTAAACATTAAAAAAAAAAGTAACAGCATAAACCCCAAAATACCACTGGTCCTTGTCTTCTACTGAATCCTTACCTGCTGTAACTCCTTAATGCCAACAGTATCACAGCATAAAGCAAATTTTAATTTCATAAAACACACTCAACTTCCTTATGGCAGCATTTACCTTCTATCTACTAAAGCAGAAGCTAATCCTTGGATTCAAAATACCTGCAGCCATTTCCTGCTCTATCTTCTATCAACACGTGCCACGTAGGAATCCTAAAAGGAACTGCTGGCATTATCTAAAATACACATGCTTATGTTCTCAGCTTTTGACATAAGCTAATTCCTTCACTCATTTATTCCTCCTAACTGTGCTGCGAAACAGATACAGACATTAACCCCACTTAACAGATAGGAAAACTGACACACGCAGAGGCTTTTTTTTTTTTTTTTTTAAATATGCAACCCTTCCAAGAGGGAGGGGGAAAGGCTGACATGGACTCAGGCAGCAGAGCTCCAGGAAACAGTCTGTACCCAACTCATATATGTCCTTACCTGAAAATCCTGCACAGCCATAAAGTAGTGTCTGACAGTATCCTAGTTGTGAGTTTTCTAAGCTTCTCTTTGTCCAGAGTTGAAATGTAAGCTCCCAGACTATGCCCCAACAAAGCTATGTGACCTTGTTCTCCAATATTCTGGATTCTGTTAATCAAAATCAATTACATTAAAGTTTTAGTCAAAATATGAATAAAGGAATAAGACAAAACCTAGAGGTAACGGCATTTCCACAGAAATTAGTCAGACTTGGAATCCTCCTAATGGTCTAGAAGGCAGGAATCCAGATAAATTTTAAAAATTCAATGCATAAAAAGTACTGATGATCTGGGGAAGATTTTATTGAATATCTACTACATATACAAGCTGTGAATAGTTTTCTCACCCCCTTTTTAAAAATTAAATGCCTGCTCTAAGAACTATGGTGTGTAGAGCTGACACAAAATGTGCAGAAAATAATTTTTTTAAAGAATCATTACATGAAGTAGATTCCCTGCATTCAACAGCTATTTATAACGGTATAGCGAAGTCAAGGAAACCAGGTATGTTTTCTGTATAATTAAAATGGACTACTGTCTCTTACAAAGAACTGTAAGTCAATAAGAAGAAGGCCAAAAAATTGGGTAAAATACTGGGCAAAGGAGATAGTTCATAGAAAAGAAAATATAAATGGGTTTTAAAACATAAAAAAGCCACTTCACCTGATTCATAAGAAAAATGCAAGCTCAAATTATGTTGAAATATCATTTCTCACCTTGCAGACTGGCAATGGTCCTTAAGTTTACAAACACCCTTGGGCAAGCAAAGGTGTGGGGAAGGAGATATTTTCATGTACCGCTGGTGGGACTGTAAACTGGCATAATTCCACCAGGGGAAAGTTGGCAGTAGCTATCAAAATTACAAAAACACAGCCTATCTGGCCCAGAAATCCCACTTTTAGGGCTTTAATCTCCAGAAACATTTGCTTGTATGACGGACGACACACGTACAAAGTCACCAGCTGCAGCAATGTTTGCAACAGTAAACATGAACAGGAGACTAGTTAAACAAAACATGGTTTATTTGACCAAAGTAAAATGAAATAGCTCTTACAGGAGAGCACTCCTTGCATCCTGGTATATGATGGACTCCGAGACACGGATGAAGAAAGCAAGGTGCACACCCCACACACAGTACTTGGGTACTAGTGAGGGAGTGGAGGCACTTGGCATGTGTGTACATACACACAGCGTGTCTGTCCGGAGTACACAAGAAGCCGGCAACTCCATCTAGCTTTAAGGAGAACAAGAAGCTGGGGAGGAAGAGTATGAAGGAGATACCCCTTTTCATTCAAGGTCACTGTCTTTTTAGAATTTACACCAGCTCTGGATTCAGCTAACACATGCCATCACGTCGCTGACTGAACATTGCCTTTGTGTACTCTTTTTAGCTTCTGAAATTTGAAAAAGGAGAATGACTTACTTATTCCAAAAAAATTACATTTAAAACAATTAAACATGAAACTAAGTAGGGAGCGAAGTTAGATGAATAAAAATAAATGGAAGATTCATAGACAACGGGGCCCAGCCAACAAGAGATGCAGCTGCAGCACCCATCAGCTGTCAGAAGCAGCAGCATGGCAGCGGAGGCAACCAGAAGCAGAAACGCCCACAGCAGTCATTCTCTGGTCCCTCTGGCAGGCCCTCTCTAAGAATCGATGCCATATAAACTACAGGGATTCGTTTTCGTAAATGCCTTCCTTTATGAAATTTATAAACCTACCCAACGCAGAGTGAATGTCTCGCTGAAAAGAGAAAAAATGGACCTTGTTTTAGTATCACATGCAACTGTGAATAAAGCACAGCTCTCTAATTCAGCAACCTGTAAACATGCAGTCACTATCAAAGTCAAGGTCACATGTACTTTCAGAGAGAAGCTGCCAATGATGTCCATTACCGGGGGCTCTGGGGCTCCTCCTCTTCATCTCCGTGCATCAGATTCTGAACTAGCTGGAGGATGCTCACCATATCTTGTCCACTGCAGAATGAAAAGAGAGTTGACAGGTGGAAACAGCTCACATTCCCCACCACTCTATTTCCTTCATTTAAACCAGCTTTGGTAAGTTGTGTGTTATTTTGTTTTGTTTTGAATTGAGGAGCTAGAGGAGAATGTGTCTGAGATACAGGAAACCAAACCTCACATTAACGGAATTCTCAATATAACCGTATCTTTAAATCTTCTATCCAAACAGGAGACTGAGTTCTGAAAATTTCACCAGTATCACATTAGCAATATTGCTCTACCTGTTCATTTGAATCCAAGGAGAATATTTAAAAAGCATGTTATAAGAACCAAAACAGTCCTTTTAAGATACTGCAAGATCACAGAAGCAGCTAGAATACTCCAATGACAGTGGTATGCCTAGTTTTCTCCACATAGGAGTCTTGTCTGTCTGTTCTAACCAACTGGAACATGTAATTCAAGCATTATTTATTACTTCTTCCTCAAGCAGGGAAATGAGAGATCTGCTCACAGTATAAACAGATTTACTTCCACCCGAGGTATGATATTAAATGCCTATTACATGACTATTTGAAAACTCATGAAAGAATGTAAATGGCTAAATTAGTGAGCAATGGCAAGGCGACCTGTAGTAACTGTAATGTAGAAATTTATCATTCCATTAATGGGACTGGATCAACAAGTGAGAACTGACTAATAACAAGTTCTCTTTTAAAAAAGCAGCACCATCAAAACAATGCCCCAAACCCATCCTTGCCAAGGTGCTGACCTTCATGTGAGAGGGGCTCTGGTCCTTGGACACTGTGTAGTGCCAATGTGGGAGCGGGTGCCCACCAGGAGACCTTGAGCAAGCTATTGAAACCCACTCAGCCCCTATGTTACAGAATCGTGAGGATGCAATCAGTGCATGAGAAACGTTTCCTGCTGTGTCTAGCCAAGCACCATCTCAGATGCTGGCATTACTATATTAAGTGTGAATGCTCCTGACCATCTGAGCATTACAGACGTTCTTGGTAGATCTCTTCTAGGGAAACTTCTGTGGGCTTAACAGAACATTTTCATTGCCATCCGCAGCTCTGGGTGGAGAGGACCGACAGGATTTGGTTCCCGCTCTCCGTCGAAGAACCCACCATACAGCTAGAGGGCTTCAAATCAGCCGCATTCAGCCTACAAACAGGAGTGCCTGTCTCAAAATACTAGTCTCTGGGTGTGGCAGATAGGCCCCTTAACGACACACTGTGTCTTTCCTCCACACTTTCCTGTTGCAACCTCGTATATGTTCAAACTCAGGCCAAAGGGCAATTTGAGGGAGTTGTCCTGTTTACTTATGTGCAGTTTCCTGGTTATAAAACAAGAAAAACCAAAGAAGCTTGTTTGAGGGAAGCTGGGCTGGGACTTTAAGCCCACGGTGAGTGCTAACGTCCTGTGAAAATTTTAGTTACATGGCTACTTGTTTTTCTGATATTTTCCCTGCTAGCTTAAACCACACATGCTTGACAGATTGGGTTTAGCTGCCCCAAAAAAAGAAATCACTCTGCCAACAAATGATCAAAGTTGACATTTTCATTTTGCTTTATTATACAAATAATAAATCTTATCAAATTACAGTATCTCTCACCACACAGCTCAGTCTATTGAACAGATTAGGGGTTTCAAGGATGAAGCATGATCGTTGAGTTATAATTATAAATTTGTGCATTCACTTTTGAGTCATGGGGTTGTTAGATCCCGAATGGGAAACTATATTAAATTAGATCCTGAATGGGAAAGGGAAAAAAGCAGGTAGACCCGACAGCAGCGCGGTGCTCTGGCGCTACACGGCACACGGCTCTCAATCTGCTCTGCGCTCATTAGAGCCACAATTATAAACCAACAATGGTTTGTCAAATCGTGATTGAAAGAAAACACATACCCTAACGAAAAGTAGGTATCTTCATTGCCACCTACCTGCCTTGGAGAGGCCCCGGAATGTCTGATACCAGCTTCTTTCCATTTTCCTCCTCTGTTCTTCTAATTTAAAGGAAATTTAAAAAAACTACCTTACCAAATGGCTGACATGTGAACATGCAAACAGGTGATGATGTTGCCTATAACCTCTTAGTAACTGATACAGGATTTGACGCACATTTATCACATCTTCTCCCCTACCACTAACACCCCAGCCCTCCATCTGGGGTACAGTTTGAATCTCAGAAAAAGAAGACAAAAAAAATGACACTTGAACCCATTTCCTGGTTAGCTGATGCCCTAGATGACATAAATATATAGTAAGTATAGATTCCAATCAATATATTAAGTAAATGAAACTCTTAACAGGCAGAACTGAAAATTCTAAGTCCTGCCTTCAATTTCAAAATCGTTTAATTACAAAGTACCTTCTACCCAAGACAAACACCATCTTTCAAGTGAGGTGAAGCTCAACTAAGCATTGACATTCTGGCACCAAAAGGAGTTTTTACCAGTAGGAAACCGGTGCCACCAGCTTCACAACAGGCTGAACAAACACGTTTAATAAGGTCCCTCGTATCCCACGCTCACCTCTGACTGTGCTCCAGCATCTTCATGGCTTCCTTCAAGTTCTTCCCCATCTCAGCTAATGTAGGGTCTGCTATCTGGAAGTAAAAAAAAAAAAAAAAAAAAAGGTTAAAATTGTGATAATCCCTTATTAGTTCTGCAACATAATTCATCCAGAAAAATTAAATCCAAGTCCATTTTCTTCTAGATTTAATATAAAACACACAGATTCATTGTGAAGTACATTTAATTTAGAAATTCCAAAGTATGGGGCATCTGGATGGCTCAGTCACTGAAGCATTCGACTCTTGATTTTGGCTCAGGTCAGGATCTCACAGTTCATGGGTTTGAGTCCTGGGATTCTCTCTTTCTGCCCCTTTCCTGCTTGTGCTCTCGCTCTCTCAAATGAAATAAACAAAGCTTAAAAAAAAAATTCCAAAGTACAAACATATAACATAAAAAAGTCCCACTCCCTAAGGGAAGCCACTCAAGTTTGACATGTATCTTTCCAAGTTCTCACCTAACACATATGTACCCCTGCAACTTGCTGTTTTGGCTTTATCATGAGTGTAGCTCCATATCAGTAGTATATCCACCTCATTCCCAGTGGTAACACCATATTCCACTCCATGGATTACCATCATTTAACTAGTCTTGAATTAAAGCTAGTTTATTCCAGTTTTACACTCTTACAAGTGAGGTTCAGAAAAGTCTGTACAGTACGCTACTTGTTTTACTGTTGTAGTAAGCTGATAAATGCCCCCCCCCCCCCCAAGCTATTCACATCATAATCCCTGGAACTTGTGAATGTTACCTTACATGGCAAAGTCTTTGCAGAAGTGATTAAGTTAAGGGTCTTGAGATGGTAAGGTTACCCTGAATTGTCCAGGTGGGCTCTAAATGTGGTCACACATATATCCAGATGAGAGAGAAGGAGAGGGAGACTACACACACACACACACACACACACACACACACACACACACACCCAAGAAGGCTGTGTGAAGACAGAGTAGAAAAAAATTTGAGGTGCTGGCCTCAAAAATTAGAGTGATGGGGCCACAAACCAAGGAATGGGTGCTAGCTGGCAACATAAACTGGGTCAAGAATGGGAGGGACCCTCCCTGAGGACCTCTGGGCGGAGTGTGGCCCTGCCGACAACTTGTTTTCAGCCCAGGGATACAGCTTTCAAATTTCTGGCCTCCAGAACTCTGGGAAAACACATTTCTGCTGTTCTAGGCCTCCCAGTTTGTGCTCATTTGTCACAGTAGCCACTGGAAATGAATACTCTCATAAACCTGGGAGTGATCCCATACACTCTGGAAGCTTGCCCAGCTGGTCACAGTGACCGCCTGTGGAGAAGGGAGCTGGAAGGACGGCCATCACATCAGAGGGTATCTTTTCAGCTCATTTCCTTTTGTTTTTTTAAAATAATATTTTTTACATGTTCATTTATTTTGAGAGAGAAAGAATCCCAGGCAGGCTCTACATTGTCAGTGCAGAGCTCAATGTGGGGCTTGATCCCACAAACCCATGAGATCATGAACTGAGCCGAAATGTTTTATTTATTTATGAGAGAGAGAGAGAGAGAGAGAGAGAGAGACAGCATGAGCAGGGGAGGGTCAGAGAGAGAGGAGACACAGGATCTGAAGCAGGCCCCAGGCTCTGAGCTATCAGCACAGAGCCCGATGTTGGGCTCAAACCCACGAACCGTGAGATCATGAGCTGAGACGCTTACCTGACTGAGCCCCCCAGGCGCCCCTAAATAAAAATTTTTTCTAATCTTACAAAATTAAACTCATTTTCCTTTTTCTTAATCTCCCTAGCAATCTTAAGGCAGACAAACTGGTTGTCTTGAATCTCTGTAAGAGTTGGGTTATAGTTACAGAGGCTCTCTTTTGTTCCCCTCTTACTCTTCAAGTGTACATTAAGCATATTTACACTCTGCTCTCTTCATATTTCCTACTGCACCTAATCATATATTATATGGAATAAATGTACAATAGGCTGTATTACAGTCAGTATTGCAGTATCTTCTCAAAATTGTTTTTAAGAAATTCTACTTAGGGGCGCCTGGGCGGCTCAGTTCGTTGAGTGTCCAACTTCGGCTCAGGTCATGATCTCGAAGTCCGTGGGTTTGAGTGCCTCATCGGGTTCTGTGCTGACAGCTCAGAGCCTGGAGCCTGTTTCAGATTCTGTGTCTCCCTCTCTCTCTGCCCCTCTCCCACTCAGGCTCTGTCTCTCTTTCTCAAAAATAAAAGTTAAAAAAATATATTAAAAAAAGAAATTCTACTCAGTCTATCAGTATAAGTACAGAAAATGTTAATTCTAGAAAAGACCTTAGGCATCTGGTCTAGGGATCTTCCACTTGTGTTCTTCTGAGTCTTAGGACTCCCAGGAAGGTGGGGCTTTCAGCTCCCTGCCCTCCATTAAGAAGATCAGATCTGTTTGGTAACAATGAGAGCTTTAAGTTTCACCTATAGAAAAAATTATTGAAAAGAAAAAAAGAAAGTATAACATGTCAAGTTCTGGTCTACTATTTTATAAGTGAAGAAACTAGGCCTCTGAGAGGTAAAGAGACTGGCCTAAGGTCACAGAGCTAATAAATGATGGCGTGGTGCCAGAACCCGGGTTTCCTGGCTCCTGCTCCTATCAGATCACAATGACTCCCAAAAGGGATTATAAAATAATCACCGAAATGATTTTTACACAAGACAGAAAAATCATTTTAAAACTGGTATTTACAGGGGCACCTGGGTGGCTCAGTCGGTTGAGCGTCTGACTTCAGCTCAGGTCATGATCTCGCGGTTCGTGGGTTTGAGCCCCGCGTTGGGTTCTGTACAGGTAGCTCAGAGCCTGGAACCTGTTTGAGATCCTGTGTGTGTCTCTCTCTCTGTGCCCCTCCCCCGCTTATGCTCTGTCTCTGTTTCAAAAATAAAAAACTATAAAAAATTTAAAAAAAAAACAACCCTGGTATTTACAATAAAATCCACAACTTAAATGTCACAGATGGGTTAGAATGCAATCTAAAAAGGTCTCAGTGTTCTCTGTTAATGATTATGAGTAGCATGAGGAACAGATAATGGTCTAGAGAATTCATCTTAATTCCTCAGTCTACTGGTCACGTTCCTTATTATTCTCATCTCCTGTGACACTCCAGCATGTCCCCAATCATCTGGCCAAATGAAAAGATACACAGTTTTGCCTGATCCACCACACCTCCACGTTTCATGCTTTAACACTTGCCATGTCTGAAGTGCCCTTCTGCCTTTTTTCTCTCCAGCTATTAAATCACAATTCAGTCCTTCTAAGAAACTTTTATGGATAAAGCCATTTCACTCTCTCATATTCTCTTTAGAGATATCAATACGGGGCCCCTGGATGGGGACTCTTGATTTCTGCTCAGATCATGATCCCAGGGTCACGGGACTGAGCCCCACATCAGGCTCCATGCTGAGTGTGGAGCCTACGTGAGATTCTCTCTCTCCTTCCCACTGCCCCTCTCCCCTGTTTACGCGTGCTCTCTAAAATTAAAAAAAAAAGAAAAAAAGATATGAATCCCATTTTTTCCAAGCCAAATAATCTGAAACCTGTTGCTTGACAAACACAACTATATTTACGGGGACAGTGGAACAGGACACTTGAAACCGGGGCCATCCTAACATGCAACTGCTGCTTAGGAGTCTTTACGGCCTTTACTGTGACTTGTCTTCGAGATGATCTTTCCAGTACACATATTCTCTCCAATTAGATTATAAGCTTGCTGAAGGCAGTGATTCAGACTCTCACTCATTTTGATTGCTTTTGTAGGATAAAAGGTCTCCAGTCAGCTTGACTGTTGGGCTGGCATGTTACTGCTGACATCGCTTAGGAAGCCACAGCATACGGAGCATCAACATACTGGCTCTAAGGGCGACACAGCTAACGTTTCCGACGGGATCAGAATACATTTTTCAGTTAAGAGCAGACGAAATAGTTGACTCAGTTTATAATTCACTACTTGTGAACAATACTTATTTTCAACACCAGAACTCACATGTGATAGTGCGATGCTTACACGGCAAAAGGCAGGGGGGAAATGCAGCTTCACGTTCTGGGTGGGAGTCTGTCTCTGGTGGGAGTCTGTCTCTGTACCCAGCACATGCTTACTGAGAGGAGTGGCTTACGTTTAAATTGTTCTGGCTCCTCCTCTCTTTCAGGAAGTGAAGTTGGGGGTGGAGCACATGGCCGGAAGTGGGTGGGTCATAAACATATACAGTTAAGCTTCAGTAAATTAAATGCGAATATATGTGACCCCAATGCCACAGACCCTCAAGTGCCTGTTGTGTTAACTGGATAATCCAAAAGAGAAAATGTTAGCCAGATGCAGAATAATATCAAGCTCTGTCAGGCAAGGAATGCTCTAAGAAAAACATGTATTTGTTACCTGGTTCCTTAAAACTAAAATCCATGCGTCCATAAGCTTCCAGTGAGAGCAGCCTTGATTATCTTAACTAACACTGCACACCGACGAGACCGGTTACAGGGCCAGACGCGCCCGCTGTGTGGTAAATGTTAGTAACAGCAAGGGCATCAGACAGACACAGACAGACCTTCCTCAATGAGAGGAAGATTGAGTTGTATAAAGATATTTTTATTATCGATATCTAGATGGAGACTGTTTCAAGATTTTTAGAGAAGGAAAAACAGCATTCTGTGCTAAGTTCCTAGGAAAACTGGCCTTTTTTTTTTTTTTTTTTAAATTCCTTAGCCCCAAGCACAGAGAGTCTAACACAGAAAAAGGGCTCAATAAGATCTATGATCCTTAATAATTACTAACAGTTACCAAACTCCTTACTATATTCCGGGCATTGTGCTAACTTACCACTGTAAATGTATTACTTCCTGACTCACCCAAAGGCACAGATCATGTGCCTTAGGGCCTATTCTACCCCAGAACCAGTGCTCGTAATCACTGGGCAATGCTGCTTCTCAATTTCATCAAATAAGTAAACACAGCAACTCACATTTTGAGCAAGCCCTGTACTCAAAAGTCATAGTTAGAGCTAAGGCATCTTAAAGATGATCCTTGTGTGATTAATAGTTAATAATAGATAAT